AAAAAAAAAAAAAAGACCAATTAGTAAAACTTGATATTTCAGAAAACCTGCAGGTTGGTGTAGGACAATTAAGTTAAAAGGCAGTTCGGTATAGTTACTAAGAACATGAACTCTAAGACCAGACTATATTGATTTAAGCCCTAGCTCTTGTAAAATGAGGATAAGAATATGTCAGAAGATTATTGTAAACAGTTCAAATATATGTAAAATGCTTAAAACATACATACCAAGGACATAGAAAGGGCCATGCAAATATTAGCTATAATTATTACATGTAGAATGGCATAGTATAAACTGAGGTAGACAAACATTAATAACAAAACATTAATTGCTAGACTCTAGCTTCATAAATTTAAGTCAGTAGAAGCCGTTTCTCTGATTAGTACTTTGTTATTATGGGAATCCTAAGAGTACATTATCTGTGGTACTCTGTGACTAAAATTTGTATTACTAGATGATTAACCCTTTCAACATCAGGCAAATAAAACTGCCTTCTGAAAGTAAAAATCATATTTCTTACCAAAAAAAGCAAAAAGTCAGTAGAATGAAAGACCCAAAAGACCACAACATGATCATATGCTTAACAGGGAAAGATGCTTGCTGACTCTTCACAGATTTTGCTAGAACTGAAAGATGAATGATACATTTAGCTACCATTGTGGTCTCATTCGCAGCCCATTCAACTTATAAAAAACATGAGCGTGCTCCATTTTCTTTGAAAATTATCAGATGTGCTGATAAATACTATTTAAAAATCACTTAGCCATTTCATATATTTTGAATTTTATAGCATTAAAAATTTATATAAAGGCACATGGAGATTCAATTTTCAGACAAGAAAATTTGGACAAAAACTTCTATATTAAAAATAGAACACAAGGCAAACTATATTAGGTCAATAATAAATACTATAGTTTTCAATGAAAAATCTAAGTACTATTTAATTTTATTATTCAGGTCTGTATTTAATAAGTAAAATATTTAGGAGTCTAAAAAAATTTTCCATTTTCTTATACAGCTATGCCATTCACAAGAACTGTGCTAAATCCTAAATGGCTTGAGATTACTAAATTTCTTCCTAAACTTCCTCTTTTTAAAATAGGCAACAAAGAGTTGGGAAAATGTCTCAAAAATTTTGAGTTTTAATTGATTTGTAAATGTGTATTAGTGTATCATTATGTTCTAAATACACTGCACAAATAATTTAAATTTCATGTGTGTATTATTTGAATATTTTAATTTCTAACATATTCATGGAAATCTTGGTTCTTTCATATTAAGATAGTGTAGCTAGAATATTACGCTCTTTGTTTTTTTGTTTTTTTTTTTTTTAGAGAGAGAATTTTGCTATAGAGCATGTGCCCTCCTCAGAGAGAAAGACAGACAGAAAGTGAGAAATCCACCCCTCCTCCCTCCAGGGGGATGGCCATGTCACAATCCCTTTTCCTCCATAGCTCTCTCAAGATTCTGGGCACACATACACATGTGCCAAGCATGTATTTCAGGCTTCCAGGTCTGAGACTCAAACTGTGGTCGGCCATGTGGGTATACAGCAACAAACATATCCATTATGCCATGTGCTAGTCCCAAAAACTTTATGCATTTATTTTCTAAAATAACTGAACTAGAAAGGTAGGCACTTTAATAAATAAAAGGAAAAGTCTGACTAACAGAATTAAAGAAAGGAGGGAAGAGCCTTTTTCAATTCTATTCCACATATGAATGCTGATCAGCACACTAACACATAAATTCCAATAAAGTCAAGTGTACAGTAGTTGGAAGAGTATGATAACAATTCACTTAATCTGTTGCTTATTTTAATATAGCACCTATTAATTTTAAAAGTACTTTCACAATCACTATTTCACAGCATCCTCACAAATAATCCTCTTAGGAAGGACAGTACTAGTGGTACATTTAATAGATAAGAAAGGGGAGCTTTAAGAAAGAAAGAAGTATGTACAAGGTCAGTAAAGTAATAGAACACAGCAAAAAAACCATGTCTTTATACTCCTAAAATACTTAGCTCTAGTACAGTTCTAGTATAGGCTTCTTAGACAAAATGCCTATTGTCTAAAAACTAAATCTGCAAACCTACTATCTTGGTCTAATCTGTTAATGAAATGATGAAGTTCTCTGTCAATGACAAAAAATAAACTTCTTGAAGATAAAAAGGTAGAGTGGAACTTTAACTCGCATTTGTAGTAAAACTTTCAAAAGCCTAAAAATAAATTAGAAATTCAATGAATACTGTTGTGAAACCACTTTAGAGTCTGAGGAAATAGCTGTGCTGCTTATTTCCTGTATAACAGTTCCAATTACGAAGTATTTAGGTATAATCCTCTTTGTTTATGTGAGGATGTAGAGTGAGTATTGAGATAGAATTGTTTCAGGACACATTTTAGAACTAGATTCTAGATTTAGACATTGGATGATTTGAGAAGTCTATCTGCCATTCCCTATAATCAGTGTTTATTTTTGCTCATAAGCACATGTAATATCAAATGGTATTGTGCTGCTTGACAATTCTAAAATTGGTAATAGTTTTCTATAAATTTGAGTATATGTTTCAGAAATTGTTTCTTTTCTGTAAAGTTCCTCAGAATAAGATACATTTTAAGCATTATTTTTAATATCGTTCAGCTGAAAAATGCAAAATATAATCCATGCTAGGATCAAGAACTTCAGGTTTATAACCTAAGTGTCTAATAACTTAGCACTTAAACAGCTCGATTTATATTAACTTTGTAAACTTAACAATTACTTAAAACACTTTGTTTAGTTCTACATTAATGTCACCTATAAACATATTTGTGTATTTATACATTTATGATATTTGTGCAACCATACATGCATATAAGACATCCTAACTATTAAAAACAGCATTGACACATAACATTGTGAACAAATCAAAGAAACTAATAAAGACCTTTGCTTTTTGTACAAGAATTACTATATATAGAAAATGGAACTATAATTTTGAGAAAGATGGCACTATTATCTTAATGTAGAAAAATAAAATTCCAATTTTAGAATAGAAATTAAAGAAATACATAAAAAACAGCATAGATCCAAACAATTCTTAGAGTGCCAAAATATTCCTGAAAACTGTATCTACTGTTTATTTCCTTATTGTTCTCAGAATGGTAGGTTAGCGTAATTTTGGACCTGAAAAGATTTCTAACTACAGGTCATGTTTTTATTGACATTTAATTTTTGCCCCATTATGCTAAGAAACTCTCAAAACTACATCTTACTAAAACTCATGCTTCAGTAAAGATAAAAACATGGAAATTAGTTCAATATTCAACTGCAAACATTAAAAGTCCACATTTCTTAAGTGACATCTACCTTTTAAATTTAGTTAACATGTTATCAAATAATTTTTAGGTGAATTTTATGTACTTAAGTTAATTTACAAAAAAAGTGATGCCTTCCTGTAATTCCAATAGTTGGACACAACCATTATGTATATATACTAATCATGCTTACAGAAAAATAAAATGTTATAATACGAATACAATCTATTTAATCTTTTTGGCTCTTTCAGTTTAGCAAGAGAGCGCTGTTAATACAAAGATACAAAAGACAGCAGATCTGACAGAACTCATGATTCCTGGTTCAATCTAAATGTACAGGTTACTCTAATTACTCTTTACTTATCAAGCAACAGACTTACCATGGAAATCATAAATATAGAGAAGAATTGGTTCATTCTGCCCAAATGCACAAAATGCAACCAAATTTTCAAATGGATGATAAGAAACATCTCGAATGGGTGATTTGAATGGTAGGTCAGAATACATCGCTACTTGTTCTCCTAAAAATGAGATAAGATCATCAGTATTGTATCATCTCTCATTAAAGATTATGGGATAACTTATTAGAAACTATTTATAGTAATTAATGATAAAGCTCATATTATTTACATAAAAAGCTCAAATACTTATAAATATTTGAGTATCACTGTATTGAATAATAATTTTTACTTTTAGAGAGAGAATTTTGCTATAGGGCATGTGTGCTTGCTAAAGAGACAGAGAAAGACAGACAGAAAATAAGAAATCACCCCCCAGGATGGTGGTCATGCTGCAATCCCTTTTCCATTCTCCTCTTGGGATTTTGGGCACACAGACACACACAACCAGTTTAAGTTTTAAGCCAGAGTCCAGGACTTGAACTGCTATCGCCTACATGGGAGTCCAGCAATGTAACCATTAGGCCATCTATTTGTCCCTAAATACGTCTTTATTTTGCATTCTGTTGGCCTCCTTTCTCTAAATCTTAATCTTTTCACTGAGGTTTTCAGGGCACAAAATAAAAACAGTGATTAGAAGGAAGGAGATAGGTATAAGAACATATAAGAGCTGAGCAACTCCAACTAACAGGGAATTCTGGGCAGAACTAGATGGAGGTGTGGTGGATTCTAGGACTGTAACATGTTAAAAATTCTAGCTGGGAGAGGTTTAGTGAGGGTTTAATTGTTCTTTTCTTGTTTTTTTTTTTTTTTTTTTTTCTCCTTCTATAGGTTGTTCGAGGTACCATCTGCTTTATGACTAAAAGACATTTAAAGCAGAGGTCTGTGGAACTTGCAAGTCAAAAAGCCAAATACTAGCTCCACTTATTGAAGGGGAAAAACTACTTAATTGCTCTTTTAATGCTAAAGTATCAAAACAGAGTACAAAAAAAAAAAAAAAAAAGAAAAGAAAAAACTCTAATTGAGCTGACTAGTCAAAATGCCTCTAGGAAAAACAAAATAAGCAAGGTGAAATAAAATTTCATTAAAAAAATTTAAAGTAAATTTTATAACATTCTCTCAATTTCCTATTAACATAAAAGTTCATGTAGTTTAATTTTTCTTTTGAAAATCAAAGGTGAAGCACAAATGAACTGCCCAATATAATAATTTTATTGTTGAAAAAGTGAAATTTTTGTAATAATTTTCTTTTTAAAAAATCTTTGCCATTGGGCATGTGTGGTCACCAGAGAGAGACAGAGGCAGAAGGAAAGTGAAAAATCACTTCCTAGGGAGGATGGTTTTGTTGGGATCCCTTCTCCTTCATTCTCTTTTTGGGATTTTGGGCATGCATGTCCATATTCCTGGTGTGTTTTTGAAGCTGCTGGGTCCAGGACTTGAAAACTGAGTAGGCCATGTGGGATACAGTGCCTTAACCACCATGCCACCCGCTGGCCCTATAATCCTATTTTGTTAATTGTCAAAAAGGCAGATACACTTGCCAGTCATGGAGAAGGAGGAAGAAAGCATCATTACCTACTAAGGTGCTGTCACTGCAATCCCTGTTCTCTAGTTTCCCAACCTGTTGAGGTTCTGGGCATGCACACAGATGTGCCCAATATGTTTTTAAAGCCACCTTCACTGGGATTCAAACCTCAGTTGGCTCACTTAGCCACTAGGCTATTGACCTGGCCCTGTGATAATGTGTTTAATTTAAAAAGTGAATAACAGTAATTCATGTACATTTGTATTTAATCACCCAAACCTTTCACAAGGCCAGTGAGCAGCATGGTAAAGACGGCTAGATCCCACATGGCCAACTGCGCAGTTCAAGTCTTGGACATGGTGGTCTGGAAAGTGTGCCAGGTGTGTGTCAGCATGCATGCTCAAAATGCCAAGAGGAAAATGGAGGAGATGGTATTGGAGCAAGGCCATCCCTCCTGAGGAGTGCTTTCTCACTTTCTCCCTTTCTCTCTGCAGCAAACACATGTAGCAAATTAAAAACTAATAACGTTTACATATATATATATATATATTTTACTAATGAAGATATACTGTGTGTGTTCAACTATTTGTCTGTGTAGTTATATTTCTAAATTCAGCTTAGAACATTTTGTGTCTTGTATTATGTCTCTAAAATCAGCAGTATCTCATTACAGACAAAAAGAAAAAGCCTTGACCTGGAATGCAAAATTCTAATTTCAAAAAGATATTACAACAATAAAAAACAGAATTTAATGTAATTAGAAACTGCAGTTGAGTTTCATTAAAGGTTTTCTAATCTTAAAAAACCACTGAAAGTCTGAAATAAAAATTTCCTTGAAAGTTATTATCATAAAAATGGTATTTTGGGGGGCCAGCCAGGCAGTGGTGTGGTTAAGGTGACTGGATCCCACATGGCCAAAGGTGACTAGATCCCACATGGCCAACTGCACAGTTTGAGTTACAGACCTGGAGGCCTGAAAAACATGCCACATTCATGTGCATGTATGTCCGAGATGCTAGATGAGAATGGAGGAAATGGGATATCAGCCTGGTCACCCTCCCTGGGGGCTGCTTTCTCACATTCTCTCCCTCTCTCTCTGTTTCTCTTCAGCTAGTTCATACACCCTATAGCAAATAGTAATAAAAAAGATATTTTTCTCAATTTTTCAAGCCCTCTCCCTGAAGATTTTTGAAGATTACTAAATATTTACCTGTTTCTGGGTTCCAAACATATACTATACCATCCTCACTTCCAGCAAAGAGAAAAGTCCCACATGGTGTCAACGTACTGTGAATCTTCTCCCGGTAATTTGCCGCACCTACAAATTTCCTTGCCACTAATCTATAAACAAAAAAGATTTTACAAATGAACCTGTCTTAATTATTTAAAATGCAGAGAGTAGAAAAACTTTTAAATACTTGATATACATTCAATAAACTTTTGAGAAATCTGTCAAATGGGAGACAGTCTTTGGTGAATGCAGAATAAAGAAGACCTAGTCTCAGAGCCCAGGGAGCTTACAACTTAGCAGGAGAGAAAAGAAATATATCAATGTAAAATCGAAGATATACAGGGAAATTACCACAAAACAAAAAAACACACTTTGTAGATTTGGATAAGACAGATTAATTCTATACATGGAGAGAGATTACTTTATGCATGCAGCATTTGAGTTCTTTGCTAAAATATACAGAGATATTTTATGTTTTTATAGTTTCTTCCACCTGATGAAATTTTTAAATCACACAAGAAATACTTGGCCCCTACACAAATAAACACATATTTTAAAATTTTCTATTAAATAAAATATACAACCTTTCAGACTTTTTAGTTATGAATAACAGCTAACTCTGTTTCAGTGGTTACTATGTGTTGGGTAGGTACTTTTATCATTCCTGATTTACAGAGTCTATTAAATATACTGTGCTATAACCTGCTTTTTTTCACTTAACAAGCAGTCATAAATAAGACTTTCATGTTAGAAAAATAGATTACATATTATCATTTAATAGATATATATTTCATCATTGTTGAAATATATTTAAGGAAATTTTCTATTGCTGGATAACATTTAGAATGTTCCCAGTTTTTTCTACTAAGAACCTGATTTTTATGAATGATCTTTGGTGTGTGTTTGTGTGTGCCACTGTTTTAGTATTTTCTTGACATAAATTCCTAGACAATGAATTACTGTATCAAAAATTTCTAGAGTCCTTGCTACATGTTTTACTGTTTTAAGTGATTAAACAGTATGCATTAACTAGTTTATTCCCCCACCAATCTCTTATGAGTATTATATATTATTTCTCCAATATGAGAGATGAAAAATGAGCATAGAGAGGCTAATGAATCATTAAGGGGTGAAAAAGGTAGTATCTGACTAGGAGTAATATATCTCTAGAGCTCAAGCATGGTCTTTAGCTATATACTATACTACTTAAAAGGGAATAACAAAACTCCTTAGTCTAGTTTTCTAATCTGGTTCTAATTCTTATTACTTGCTTTTTTCCATTTTTCATTTTTTGAAACTGGCAGAGGGTACTTGCATTCATCAAAAAGAGATAGGCAGAAAGCAACCTCACACACAATGGGATGTGCTCATACTACAATCCCTTCTCCTCCATTTCTCCATCCTCTGTGATCTTGGGTATATGTGCCCAGCATGTTTCTCAAGCCTCTGGGACCAGGACTTGACATGCAGTCAGCCATGTGGGATCCAGCTTCCTTAACTAATAGGCCATGAAGCTGCCCCCTAATCTCAATTTCTGAAAGTTCTCTCTATATTGTCCTTAAAACAAACAGAAAACTTATGCTCATAAAGATTTATTCACTCTGCCTTGAACACTTAAACTCACTTGTAAACTTCATTTTATGTTTTCCATAATAAAGAAACACTTCTATCTTTCTGAATTCAATCCACCCTTCAAGACAGAGATAAAGTGCTAACTTCTCAAAAGATCCTTTAACAAAAGACTATATTATATATATATATATATGTGGGTTCTTCAAAAATTTTAAGGAAAAACAATGCACACTATAAAAAAATGTACCAGTTAAAAAAAATTTTTTTACCAAAATAAGCAAACACTTTAATTACATCTTTTCATGAACTGTTTGTAGTAACATAGTTATCAGCATTATTGCTACCATGAAAAGTAAGATGTTATTATTATCTCTATCTACTCATTAAAGATACATATTATATTGAGTACTGACTACTATGTATGGAAGAAAGAATAAACAGATTCCAGTTCTAGAAGATCTCATGTTTTAATGTTATTAAATTTTTTTGTATTATTTTGGATGTGTACAACTAGATGAGCACTAATTCTGCTTATCATTCTCCTACATCATCAATGCCATTGTCTTGAACTACTTTTTATAAATATTGAAAGACTTAATGGGTAGCCCTAAAACCATACTTGCAGAACTTAAAATAGAAATGATCATATTTGCCTTTCTAAATGCAATAAGGAAATCTAATAAAATAGCTTTTTCTCAGTTGTTTGACAAGAACTCTAACTGAAAAACAAAAGCACAACAGAAGTCTGTGCTGATTTCCCCAGAACTCTGCTTCTGCTGTTTATCATAAGTACATTTCGTTCACTTGTCTTCATTTAGAAATAAAGCAAAGAAAAAAAGCAAGGATGTACTAATTAAAAGCACTTTCATTCAGTTATGACATTATATCATAATACAATGCTATACCAATATCATAGATATAAAAGATTTGTTTAGTGTTGAAGGTCAAAGTTTGCTTTAAAATGTGAAAATAAAAAACAACTGTCTACATCTTAGCCTCAGAACTATCAGATTTGGTGCCAGATAATTCTTTGATTTGGGAGGCTGCCTTATAAGTCATAGGATGCTTAGCAGTACCTCTGCTGTCTACTCATTAGATATTAGAAGACAAATTACAAAATGTTGCCGGATGCATCAGATGCTCCCTCAGAAGTCAGTTAAAAACCACTCCTACAAGGGCCAGCAGGTAGCGTGGTGGTTTAAGGTGCTGGACTCTCTCACGGCCAACCATGGTTTAAATCCTGTACCTGGTGGCTTGCTTTCTCATTTGGGACCAGCAGCTGGCATAATGGCTATGTCGCTGGACTCCCATGTAGTCAACTGTGGTTCAAGTCCCGGACCTGGTGGCTTAAACTCACACCAGGTATGTGTGTGTGCATGCCCAAGATCCTGAGAAGAGAATGGAGAAGGGATTGTGGCATGGCCATCTCCCTTAGGGGGTGATTTCTCGCTTTCTGTCTCTCTTTCTGGTGAGTGCATGTGCCCTATAGCAAAAACCTCTTTAAAAATAACAAAAACAAAAACAAAAAAACAAAAAAAACCAGAAACACTGCTACAGTTTATAAATATAAATTAATTCATTACTTGTTCTATGGGTAGTTATTCTGTTAGTAATGAAATATACTTACATTCGGAGATCCATAATTCTCAAAGTACTGTCTTTGGTATGGATTAACAAACGTTTTCCATTGGGATGAACCTCCAAATAACTAATTGGAATCCCCTTAAACTCGGTTTCTTTAATTTCCTAAAATGTTGTTAAAAAAGATAAAAAAGATAATCTACAACCGAAGATTCTGTTGAACATTAAACCCTTTTCTAAGAATACAAAATTAAATTTAGAATGTCATTTTCAATTTGCTATATAAAGCACTTTAAAATTGTTAGCAAAAAAAATTCCCAGTAATGTCAATTTAGGATAGAAAATTATGTAATGCTCTATTTAATTAGTATGTGTTTTTGCAGTATATTCACCTTCCCCAAATTTAGTCATTTTCAAGCAAGAAGTTCCAATAAACATCTTTTTTTAAAGAATTATTTTATTTTGTTTACTCATTCATTTATTTTAATTTGACCAGAGACAGACACAAACACAAAAAGAGAGAGAGAAAGAGAGAGAGAGAGGGAACATGAGAAAGCAAGTCACCATGTCCAGGACTCGAACTGTGGTCGGCCATATGGGAGTGTCCAGCACCTTAACCACCATGCCACCTGCTGGTCCCCAATAAACATATCTTTTAACCTTGCATTTTCTATTTAACATCATTAAGAAAGAACCCGATGTTTTATAATTTCAAAATTAAGTGTGAAATTAACTTTCAAGTTCTACTACAGTTTCAACTTCTTTCTTCATACACTCCCATTTGTCTTTAAAAAGGGTATCTAATTGACATCTTTTTCTGAAATCATTTCATTTACATTGTAATTTTAAAAAAGGTTTTAAGGACTTTTTTGATAGCTATTTCAGACAACTAAAAGACATACCCAGCTAATCATGTCTAGAAAGAAATAAACACCAAAGGAGAACCTGCCTAAACAAACTTTGTATCAGGAGAATTACCAAAGGTACTTGTTGGAATTACCAGCAGAAATAAAAAAACTGCACATGCAAACTTGCTAAGGCTCAAATCTAAAGAATCAAAGGAAAGTCTGCTTTAATCTGCAGGCCGATTCTGCATTAGCCACCCTCGCCTCCCAAGAACTCCTTGTTTTCTGTTTTCACCTAGAGGAGCTCCTCTTCAGAAGAGGGCAGGCACCAGCAACAGTGGTGTCGCAATCCCAACCTTGGCAGCTGAGCCCCCTGCTATTTGACACTAAGACCTGCTGTCAGTTATTTTTTTTTCAAAAGTTACAGAAAAAAGTGAAACACTGATACTACAGAAGGGGATTTCAGTGAGTGGAACTACATTTGGGGGATGGCAGAAGCACTGTAGGAGGTTTAAGCAACTAAAACAGAGGCACATGTGCAAAACAAAAACAAAAGTGTATAACAAGTTAAGTGTTAGGTATAAATTTGAGAAAGTTGCTGGTAGATTTAGTGTCTATTGTATCTTATAATTTCCTCCACATTAGTCCTTATGATATTCATGCTCAAACACAAAATACCTTTGTTTTAAAGCCAGCATCCTGGCCCAAGGACTGTATGCAACAGCACACGGACACTTTATTCTAAGGAACAGATGACTATAACCTACTGCAGAATTTGTCACACTGCTGGCTGAACAGAACTGAGTATGAATTCATAGTCTCTAGTTTGCCATATGGCATTCAGCTGCTAAAAAGACATTCTAGCTCGTTTCTTAGCTTATTTTTGACAATCTCGAGTAATGACTAGACTATAGATCTGTAAGAACATTATCTCCCAGTTACTATACTAATTTTAAAAATAAGTGGTTTTTGAAACAAATAATAAATTCAGCATCATAGACTCAAAGGACTATAAATGGAACTTTTGGAGCCTTGCCAATCTCTCAGGTACATAGGTAATCAGAAAGGTCTTTTCAAAGTGTGTGAAATTAGGTTACATTATGAATCCCAAGACATCATTCATTAATCTAAAAGACTAGATGAGGGGGCTGGCAGGTGGCGTGGTGGTTAAAGGCACTGGACTCCCACCTGGTCATAGTTCAAGTCCTGGACCTGGCAGCTTGCTTTCTCATTTTCTCTCTCTCACTCGCTCTGTTCTTCTCTGGTCAAATTAAAAAAAAATAAGTAAGTAAATAATACAATAAAGTTAAATAAAACAAAAAAGACTAGATGAGAACAATCAAAGAGAGCAGATTGTTTTCTAAACATCTTATAGATTTAATAGACTTAACTAAAGCTTAAATTCTTTTTCACTCAGATAATATTTTTCAAAGCAGAACAACTACTGACATATTTAATATGAAAAATTGAAGAACAAAGGTATAATATGTTAGGCAGATAGATCAATTTATAAACAAAATTGAATTTAATAATTCATTTAAAGTTTAAAATAAAAAACATACAACAAAGCTTCTCAATAAATATGCTAGCCACTTTAAAAATACTCTAGCCCCAAAATAAAAGAGCTTATTCATTTCTTTCTGCCTACTTAGCAATTTTAAATTGAACAATTATTATGATGTGAAAGACTCCCACAATAATTACGTAATTCTGAAAGACACCATAGCTCATAAAATGCAGGGCCCAGTTTTCTTACTAAGGCAAGAAAAAAAGAATACAAATAACACAAAATATGTTACTACTTATACTTGATAATATAATGTATGTTTCTCTTCAGCATAAATTTCAGCTAATGGATCACTGAATGCTATAGTGCAAACTGGGGCTCAAGAAAAGTGAAAGTGAAACCTGAAAAAAAAAAAAAGGAGAAAATCTTCACTAAGCAGTAATATTATCAACTAGCTACCAGAAAGATGTGATAATTAATTAATAAGTGACTTTTCAGAGAAAAATCACAAAAAATGTACTTTTTGAACAGAACAGAATTTCTTGTCATCCTGTCTTAAAGTCATGTGGCTGGATTCTGCTCCCCAATATTTTTATTTTTTTCTTTTTTTCTTTTTCTTTTCTTTTGGAGAGCTTTTTGCTATGGGGCACGTGCGCTCGCCAGACAGACAGAGACAGAGAGATAGAAAGCGAGAAATCACCCCCCAGGGGGGATGGCCACACAGCAATCCCTTCTCCTCCATTCTCCTCTCGGGATCTTGGGCACACATGCACACGCGCCCGGTTTGAGTTTAAGCCACCAGGCCCGGGACTCGAACCGCGGTCGACTACGTGGGAGTCCAGCGACATAGCCATTATGCTAACTGCTGGTCCCCTCCCCAATATTTTTAATTAAATGCCAAAATATAAAATATCTTATACCTTATTTATGGTCCAGTGGCGCACCGAATGTTGCAAATCGTTCACTTTGACATAGGTATTCCAAACAATAATCACTCCTGTGCAGTCTCCTGAATACATGTGATGACCTATTTAAAAAATAAAGTTACTCACTTATGAATGTCACACAGAGTAGGTAACAAATAATATGAAAATGGGAGATACTCGACCTCAAAAAAACAGCCAAAGAATTGGAGGCTATTAAAAGGTGTTTCAGTTTTTTAAAAAAAACAACAAGTAAAACACAACTTACAATCAAAATCCAATGATCTTTTTTGGGGGTAAGGTTTGCCATAGGGTGTGTGCACTTGAAGGAGAGAGTCAGAGGAAGACAGTGAGAGAAAAAGTGAAAAATCACCCCGGGGTGGGAGTGGCCATGTCACAATCCCTTCTCCTCCTCCTCCATTCTTCTCCTGGGATTTTGGGCACATGTGCACATGTACCTGGTATGATTTTGAAGCCTTGAGGCCTGAGACTTGAACGATGGTAAGCCAAGTGGGAGTTTAGCACCTTAACTACCATGCCACCTGCTCTGCCCTAAACCCAATTATCTCTAAATGAATTCTTCACTCTTTTAAATTATTTTTGGTGACTTATTTCCCTTGTCACTTACCTGACTTTTAATACAAAAAGAAATGAGCACCTCAGTATATGTGTATATGGCTTATATTCCAAAGCTAAATTTATTTGAATTATCCAACATGTAGTCCTCATTTTTATTAATCTTTCTAATGTTTTATAATTCTAGAAAAACATGTATTTTCTAATATATACTGCTAGCATAATACCTGACACCCAGTAGAAACTAATAAATGATCAGGGAATAAATAAAGTAATAAGGAACAAGGGCTCCAGTTAACATGAGTTCTTTAGAGTAAGACCATCCTAAAATTGAATGGGACCTCAAAGACCACCAAGTTTAACTTCACAGCTACTCAGAAATACCATATATCCCACTACTAACAGATGGCTGTTTAGCAACTGTGAATTTAATATTTACAAAACAGTTTATTCAACTGGTGAACTGCTCCATGTATTAGAATGTTCTTTCTAATTCTGAACAAAGAAAATCTAAAATCTCACAGTCAAATATCTGAATAAATTTTTTATCTCTCTTTTATAACCTGAGCTACTTCTATTATGGCAGAGTTTAAAATACCTTTCTGTTCAGAGCCTTTCCTGAATATGTTCCTAATTTATTAATATTTCTATAATTAAACTAAGCATATTAACAGGATTATTATTTTGACCTGGATACCACAGTACTTAAATTATAGCTATGGCCTACATATGTTGTTTCTGAAATAATGTAAAAAAAATGACAAATAGATATAAATCTCTTTACTCTTTCAGCTAATAAAACATCTATATTTCACATTCTTAAATACCATCTATACTATTCATATATTAACATTGAAATGACTGCATATTTCTGTAAATGTTTGTGTATTCTTTAAAAAATAATACCAAGAATTATAATCACCAACTCAAAAAATACACTTATGAAATTTGCTGATTAGTTGTTATAGAAAGATTAATTTAATCTAAATGTGTAGGAATTTAACAACTTTAAAATTACAAAATTAATTCCTGAAGTGTCAAATCTATCATATGACCTGCATAACATCATAAACCTAACTGTGCGAACATCAATATATAAAATCTCAAACTTAAATAATTATCCCAGTAAAATAAACAACAAAAATATTCTTCATGCAACTAGTCTTCATTTGGAACATACTCTCTGACATACCTTCAGTATCAAAACAGAGGGAATTGATAAAACTCTTGTGAGCATCAAACTGTCGGACCAATATGGCAGAATCCTCTTTCATATCAACTTTCCATATCCGTATTATAGAATCATAGCATCCTGTAACCACCAGCTCTGATATAACTGGATGAAATTTAGCAGTGTAAACAAAAGAAGGATGAGGTAAAACTCTGAAAGTATTTGTATTGTTTAGTTCATTTTTCCATATCCTGGAAAAAGATAAAAAGTTAAATATTGCATTCTGAAAGGAAAAAGTTTCTTTAAGTTTTTAAGAACCAATATAGGGGCTAGCAGGTGGTGTGGTGGTTAAGGATGCTGGACTCCCACATGGCCAACTGTGGTTTGAGTTCCAGACCTGGCAACTTGCTTTCTCACTTTCTTTCTCTCTCTCTCTCTCTGGTTAAATATAATAAATAAATAAACAAACAAATAAATAAACAAACAAAGTAAAATAATTCTAAAAATAAGAAAGAACTAGTATAGCCAATGGACAAGTGACAAATGACAACAGCCAATGATAAACTGAGTTTTACAACAAGTAAGATGATCATATATTTCATGGCTGAAATTTGTCACATTTTGACAAAGCTATTTCTCATAATTATTATCAAATATATTATGTCCACTAATTGTAATCTATACTACAAAATAAAAAGCTAAAATTTTGGATTGGGTTTTACTTGTTTTTTAAGCCTATCTACTTGTGACACTGATTAAACACATAATGGATAATTGGTAAAATACTGCAGGTAGAGGCCAGCAGGTGGCACAGAGGTTAAGGCACTGGATCCTACGTGGTCAACTAAACAGTTCAAATCTGACCCAATGGCAGGCAAAACATACTGGAGTATGTGCATGCATGCCCCAAAATTCTGAGAGAATGAAGAAGGGACTGCAGTGTGGTCATTCCCACTAGAGGGTGGTTTCTCTCTCTCACTCTCTCTCTGTCTGTCTCTGTCTTTTGTAAGCACAAACACCTTACAAGAAAACTTAAAAAAAGAAAATTGCATTTAGTATAACAGACATAAAAAAGTATGGGAAGAAATTTCAGTGATTTTCCATTTAGGTTGTACATGTTGCTTTTGCAAAATGCTTACTAGTGGGGTTTTAGAGAATAAGATATTCTATTAACATTTACATTTATAATTCCAAAGCCTAGAAAATAAACATGAAGATCTTGAAGACTTACAAGCCATATTAAAATTATTCTACGAATTCTCAAGTAAAATAAGATGAAAAGAATTGTAATATTTTGATAGAAAACAGACTATCCTACATTAATACTCTATGCTTAACACTTAGCTCTTTCTCTAAAATAATAGATGATTTTTTTAAAAAATTAAGATTATTATCACTGCCATGGTCTTGACAAAAGAATAAATAAACTGTAAGGGTTAAAATGTTATGTTAGATACTATACATTTCTAATAATTGGCAAAAAATAGGCAAAATATAGCAAAAGACAGTTGCTAGAGGAATACAAAACATTGGGCTTTTTATGCTGGGTTATTAGACTTAGAAGAATATATTAATTTTAATACAGTGATTTATAATTTATTCTTTTAATTACTGCTTAAGAACTAAAGCAAATTAAGTCCTTTTAAAAATTATCAATAAAAGAAAAACACACAGTTGCTACTCAAGAATAACATTCTGTGAGTTTTCTCAGCAGCTGCTTAAAATACAGGATATGATCTTCAATTACTAAGAATCCAAACTGATAATGAAGGAAGTGAAAGGGCATGTTTTTAAGTAAAAATAAAGCACGTGTGTCACTGCATAAACATTTTTACCATAGTGATGTTTCTAATGAACATATGCTACATGAAAGATAATACTTATTAAAAGAACAAAATTGTTATTTGAAGAGAATATAAAGAAGACAGTGAAAAGGAAAACTTCAGTTGTTTGCTAATATATCTTAGCAGCATTATTTGAAATTTATATAATAGACAAATAAGGCAAGCAAAAAGAATCTTCAGAATAGTTGAATATAATAGAAATAATACTTTTATACTAAAAAATGAAGGTTTTTGTGTAAAAACTGAACTTGTATCAATGATGGCTTTTTTTTTTTTTTTTTTTTTTTAAAGAGAGATTTTTGCAATAGGGTAAATGCACTCGCCAGAGAGACAGAGCAATAGAAAATGAGCAATCACTCCCAGGGCTGATGGCCACATCACAATTTCTTCGCTTCCACTCTCCTCTCAGAACTTTGGGCATGCATGCACATGTGCCTGGTCTGAGTCTTAAGCCATTAAGTCTGGGACTCAAACTGTGGTCAACTACGTGGGAGTCCAGCGATGCAACCATTCTGCCATCTCGAGTCCCTCAGTGATGACTTTTATTAGCCCAGGAAATGGTAGAATCTAAAAGTAATGTATTAATGAGTCTATGAAAAAAATCACACTGATCAATGGAGAACAAGAGAACACAAATTTGTAAAAGACTGGATGAATACACAAAAATGTATTTTACCTGTGGGAAAGGAAAAACATTCCAAAGTTAAAAGGGTCTGTGTGATGAGGGATTTTAGAGAACATAAAGGCCTATTTGGGAGTCATCACATATTGAAAATTATTTCTGATTGTATTAAGAACTGTTGATTTGAGAAAACCACAGATTATTCTAGAGATAACTAAAAAAAAAAGATTTAGGCGAACTCATATGCAAGAGAGCTAATCAATGGGAAAGTTACTTAAGAGACACTTTCAATAATATGTGACATCAGGACCAGCAGTTAGTGTAATGGCTATGTTGCTGGACTCCCATGTAGCCGACCAAGGTTCGAGTCCTGGACCCGGTGGCTTAAACATGGGCACGTATGCATGCGTGCCCAAGATCCCAAGAGGAGAATGGAGGAGAAGGGATTGCGGCGTGGCCATCCCCCCTGGGGGGTGATTCTCACTTTCTGTCTCTCTGTCTCTCTCTGTCTGGCTGGCGAGCACACGCGCCCTATAGCAAAAACATCTCCAAAATAAATAAATAAAAAAATAATAATATGTGACATCGATTCCCAGGATGACCAAAGGAAAAGACATGGACAGAAATCCATATTTCTGTCACTTGCTAGCATTAGCAATTCTAATTCTCTTCTTTTGGCCAGCTTTTTCATTACAAAGATTTCTTACCTCTTTCAAAAATCTCCTTTTTGATTCTAGCTACAATGCCTCTCTTTTCACTCAGTTAATGCTTTCATAATCATATTTTATGATTTAACAACTCCAAAATTAATATCAAGTTTAAAGCCACATAAAGAAAAAAGTATACTTCACTATAACATACTGTATGTTATGTAGGGGAAACCCAAGATGATTTAAAGAAATGATGAAATTTGAGCTGAATTTTAAATGACTATGAGCCTAGCATGGTTCACAAAGGCACTTTATAAATTTCTGCTGAGTGAATGAGTTAGGAAGGGTAGAAGTATAGGCAGAATAGGTAAGCTAAAAGAGCATGAAATGTCAATATGCTAAAGATCCTGAGACCAGGGGATGACATAGCAGTTATGTCACTGGACTCCCACATGGCCAACTATAGTTTATCTCTGGTGGTTTGAAACTCATGTGGGGTGCCCAAGATCCCAGGAGGAGAATGGAGGAGAAGGGAATGCTGCGTGACCATCTCCCCTGGGGGGTGATTTCTCATTTTCTTTCTCACTGTCTCTGTCTCTCTCTTTCTCTCAGATGAGTGCACAAGCTGGCTCTAAGGCAAAAATCTGTAATTTTAAAAAAAAAGATCATATGGATGAGGCAAAGGACACATGGGAACCGCTCAAGACAAGGATGTAAGGACAATGAGGCCCATGCCAAAAATTTTCCAAAAGGTGATGGGTAATCACAGATTTTTCTAAAGTCAAGGAATTAAGAAAGATGATTTTGGAAAGATAATTTTAGCATGGTAGAGACAGAGGAGCTAGAGACTACACTGGGAATGTTTTTTTGTTGTTGTTGTTGTTGTTTTTTTTGAGAGGTTTTTGCTATAGAGCGTGTGCACTCACCAGAAAGACAGAGAGACAGAAAACAAGAAATCACCCTCCAGGGGGGATGGCCACCCCACAATCCCTTCTCCATTCTCCTCTCGGGATCTTGGGCATACATGCACACACACCTGGCATGAGTTTAAGCCACTGGGTTCGGGACTCGAACCTCGGTCGGCTACATGGGAGTCCAGTGATATAGCCATTACACCAACTGCTGGTCCCAGGGAATGTTTAATAGTAACAAGTTAAGGAAGTGATAGCAAGGCTAGAATCAAGGTAAAAGCAGTGAGGTTAGAGGGGATGTGATAGAAGGGTGAACCTCGCACGAGTAAGAACTAGTAGGCTTTAGTGCCATTAGATGTTGAAAGTAATAATGAGAAAGAAAGAAGAGATGAGCACTACTCTGTGTTCCCAGTTTGAGAGACAGCATGGATAAACATGCCATCAAACATAAATGAAGATTAGTGGAAGAAAACAAAATCTAGGGAGGTTGATAAGTTTGGTTTTGGAGTTCAGGTGGCACTGGCCTATCCAGATGGAAACATGTAATAGGTCAACTCAGAAAAAAGATGGGAGCTTGAGATCATTAGCATAGAAATAAGAATCAAAGCTGTGATAGTCATAGAAACATGGACTAGAATATGAAACCAGGAATCAGTCAACTAAAGGTTCTTAGGAGAAAACACTAACAGAGAAAAGGCAGAGAAAAAGGAACCAAAGAAAGATAATGTGTAGAATTTGTCAGAGTCATAAAAAGATCAACAGAAGAGGTTGCTAATGAAAATCATGAATTGAAAGTATTTTAAGACAGGTCAATGCTCAATTACTGCAGTGAAGACAAACAGAATAAGGACTAAAACTGGACAATGGATCTGAAAATTAGTAAGAGACTACTGACCTCTTGAATAAAGTTTATATACCGTGGTGGAAGTAAAAGCCAGAAAAACTGGAGTAAGTAAAGACAATATGAAAAGAATGCTTCTGAAGATATACAAAGAAAAAATATGTGATGGTCTAGAAGGCAGGAAAAATTGAGAAAAAGATCAGAAAACTTGAGCATATTTTTAAGATGAGAGGGTAAAGTCAATAAAGAAGATACTGAACAGACTAGAGGTATAGGAAACAGTAGATCTAATAAAATTGTAGATTAAGGGATGGAATTTAAAAAGCACAGGTCAAAGATTAGCCATAAAGCAGTCTGTTCCCATAATTCTTTGTTAAAACAAATGGACAGAGATAAAATGGGTAAATTTATAGATATTAAGAGAACAGCTGGGGTCAGCAGGATTCCTACATGGCCGACCATGGTTTGAGTCTCAGACCTAGTGGCTTGTTTTCTCACTTTCCCTCTCTCTCCCTCTCAGTCTCTCTGGTCAAATGTAAATAATAATAATAATAAATAAAATAAATAATTTCTAGAAAAAAATAAAAACCAGAGGGAAATGTAGGAAGTCTGTGTCTGACTAAATTTCACTGTAAATCATAGTCATCTAATGAAAGTGAGAAGACTATGAATTAGTGTAGAAAGCTTCAATGTATGTTAAGATTTGAATCTGTTGCCAGAGAAATTAAAAAAGAAAGCAGAATAAAGATAACTAAAAGGACTGCTCAACAGAGATGAGAGCTCAGGTGAGTTTAAGACTTACAAGTCCACAGGTTAGCCTCAGGTTATAGCCTTATCTATTTTCCTGTAGTATTACCAGGCATCAGACAGGATGGCTGTGCTAAAAGAACAGACCAGATAGGTTTTTGAGGAAATTGCTAAGGGGAAGTCATAGTAGGTTCCCAGCTCAATAGAGAGGGTAGTCAACTGTAAATAGTTGTCATCTTTTTCATTTAAATACAAATTGAACAACCACAGTAACAACCTGGGCAATTAGATATTTTATATAGATAAAGGGATTGATGAGATTAGCAAATAAAGGGGCCCAAGACATCACATGAAGTGTTATAAGAGCTGAAGGCAGAAGTAAAAAAAAGTGAAGACAGTATGGATCTCAAAATACACTTCCAGTTCCCTAGTCTGTTGAGAGAATAATGTGTGTCCCCTAGTGGTTGCTGGAATGAAAGTAAATGATATATATTAAAGATCTTGAAAACTTATCTTGAAAAAATGTCTAATAGTATTTTTTGAACCACATTTGAAGCAGAAAAAGCAGCTAAAACTATATAAATAAAACTATAAAAGTAAGCCTTTAAAATGTTTTATTGTGGTACTTAATAAATTGAAACTGGATAAATTATTTTAAGATACATTTTGAACAATGCAAATATTTAACAATATGAAATTCTTTTCCTTTTCCTGTGTTTTTATTTGTCAGAGGACATATGTACTCACCAGAGACACAGAGAAGGGAAGAGAGAGAAAGCACCCCCCAATGGGTATGGCATGCTACAACACTTTCTTTTTCATCTCTCCACTCAGTCAGGATTGGGGTTTATACACAGGCATCCATGCCCTTAAGCGGCCAAGATTTGAACTGCAGTCAGCTTTGTGAGATCTGGTACTCTTAACCATGAGGCTACAGGGTCAGCCCTATAAACCTCTTGAAACATAAGGTAGGTACATACTAATTTATTTCTCTCACAGCTATGTACTGAACAGCACTGGATTCTAGCCTATACGTCTAGCCAACAATGAATACAAAATCCCTACGGTGAAGAGCTTAAGTTCTAGAGTGCGGCAATAATGCAAATAGATCTACAAAGGAAAGGTCCTGGGTGAACACTGAATCCCTAAGTACTCCAGGAGCTTGCAGGTCCATGATTGGGGCCAGCTAAGACTGGGCGTAGATCACAACATGAAGGCCCTGTTGTGGGTGTCATCTCACTGTCTCTCTTTTTCTCTCTGTCTCATTAGAGAATAAAATAAATAAACCTTAAAATAATTTTTTTTAAAAAAGAGCTTATGTCCTAGTTATTTAATAACTTCATATTGAAATACTGAACAGTTTACATAATGATCATTTAAAAATAGTGAGGACTAGAAATGCTACATATTACATAAAGGAAAGGTATTTAAGAAAAATGTCTTGAAGAAAAGTTTTACTACTATTAATTTAATCAGTCAGTCTGCATGATGATGTGTATTTATAACAGCCTCTTCATAGGTAAAACATGATTGAATACGAGTAGTTTTACTAGTTTTGCTTCCTTGATGGCAAACAGGATGTACAATAAATAATTCTCAAGTCTACTAACCTGGCAGTGCCATCAGATGACGAAGTAAGGATGTACCGATCATCAGTTGACCAACAAAGATCATAAATGATATTGAGGTGGCCACACAATTCTCTCATAAAACGTCCAGAAGGAATTTCATATACTAAAGAAAATATTCATAAATTAGCAGGTTCCCAGACAGAGGCACCTTAATCCAGAAATATAAAAATACATCATTTAAAATAGTTTAACCAAAGACATATGCAGTGTAAATAAAATTTCAGAATCTACTTAATAAGTTTTTTATTTTCTTCTGACACAAGAATTAACATGGAAAACTTTACAGTATACTACAAATCAATTATTCTCATCTTTTTTAAAGCAATTCCCCAAGAATCTTTGATAATCTTTCATTAGTCAAATAATAAAATATATTTATACTGAAATTCACATACAATATTCTGTAATTTGGGCTTTCATGAATAAGGAATTATTCTTCCAGAGAATAAGTAAAATTCCAAGCAAAATTTGAAATACTGAGAAATTTTAACTATTCTTAGAGTAAAAGTAAGAAAATTAACAGCAATTCATCTAACAAACAAAGCAACATAATACGTTATATACACAATAAAATCTTCTATTATAAACTTTACAAGTCTCTACTTCCACCTAGTGGTAAAATCAGTTGCCCTTTAATTAAGCAATGCATATTGTTATAAGCAATCTGAGAGGTACTATTATAAGCAATTTGAGAAGTACTTATTCAAGAAAAATGACTGGGGACCAGCAGTTAGCGTAATGGCTATGTCGCTGGACTCCCACTTAGTCGACCGCGGTAAGAGTCCCGGACCCGGGGGCTTAATCTCATGCCGGGTGCGTGTGTATGCGTGCCCAAGATCCCGTGAGGAGAATGGAGGAGAAGGTATTGCGGCGTGGCCATCCCCTATGGGGGGTGATTTCTCGTTTTCTGTCTCTATGTCTCTCTCTATCTGTCTGGCGCATGCACGTGCCCTATAGCAAAAAACCTCTCCGGAAAAAAAAAAAAAATGACTGAACCTTAGTAAAAACATTGATCTTCATGGTATTTTTACCTTGCCCTATTCCCCCTTCCAAGACTATAAAAAAGTCTTAAGAACAGTGAAATCAGGAGCCTAACAGTCATAAAATGGGAAAGAAGAGGTCTGTAGCTTTCCAGACTTAAATCACTATTTCACAATTTGTTAACTCCAAGAAAAGCTCCAATCTCAGGGTGTGGCTTTATTTGACCTAGGTCAATGCATGCTCTGTGAAAATAGTTCTTAACCACAGGGTGTAAGTCAAATCAATCAGATCATTTAACCATGTAGGCGCCTGAGGCAGTGATACCAGATGGGGCTAGGGAAAGCCTCACAAAGGACTTAAAATAAAAAAAAATAGAAATGAGATGTCCACAGAGGATTTTGACAAGGTCCAAAATATCCCTAGGAATCTAAAAGGATTCCTATGCATGCATGTGAAGGGCCAGGTGCATACCCAAGAATGATCTGAGAGGCTTCATCTCTTACTCCAGCTGACCTGAAGAAGCTGTGCACAAAGACGAAGTAAGGGCTAAGGCAGAGTTGTAAATTGACAGCTGGAGCACTGAAAGTATATCACAACAAACACTAAGCCCCTTAGCAAGAGTCAGCAGACTTATCTACTCAAGGTATTTTTAAAAACTCTACCCAACCATTAGCCTACTACTCACCCAGCCAAACAGAGACCCCAATAGCAACAGATGACAAAGAACAAAGACTTTATAGAAATTAAGTCAATAAACAGCAAAAACAACAAATCCTAGGTAGATGAGATGATAGAGAAAAGAACATGTAATTTCTGGAGCTGCCACAGTGTATTATTCAGAATACCAAGTTTTTAATACAAAATCATAAAATATTGGGAAAAAAAAACAAACAGGAAAGTACAGGGGAAAAAGAGAAAAAATCGGTTTGTTGAAGTTATCTATGTAAAAACTGAGGAAGGCCAGACATTGGTCTTCCTCAAAAGCGACTTTAGGCCCATTATTATAAATATGTTCAAAGACCTAAAAAAAGTCAAAATAAAATGCAAGAATGATTTCTTAACAAAAAAGAAGGTATTAGGAGAAATAAATTATATTAAAAGAGAACTACATATACATCTGAATTGAGAAGTACAATAACTAAAATAATTTACTGAAAGAGTTTGAGGGTAGATCTGAACTAGAAGAATTACTAAATTTGATGAAAGGTCAAGTGAAATGATCCAATACAAAAAGAAAAAGAATGAAAACTAAAGAAGCCTTAGGGAGACACCCATGTGATACCACTAGTATACTCACATAGGCATAATGGGAGTCCCAGGATAAGAAAGAAATGGACAAATGGAATATCTGAGGAAATGACTGAGCACTTCCCAAATTTAAGAAAAACATTAATTTGAACATTTAGCAAGCTAAATTAATTTTTTTTTTTTTGGAAAGGTTTTTGCCATAGGGCGCATGCACTCACCAGAAAGACAGAGAGAGACAGAGAAAGAGAAAGCAAGAAATCACTCCCCAGGGGGGGTGGCCATGCCACAATTCCTTCTCCTCCATTCTCCTCTTGGAATCTTGGACACGCACGCACACGCGCCCTGGCATGAGTTTTAGCCACCGGGTCTGGGACTTGAACTGCGGTCGACTACATGGGAGTCCAGTGACATAGCCATTATGCTAACTGCTGGTCCCAAGGTATATTTATTAATAAATGCCAACCAAATTAATTATGAGTTTCTGCTTTAAAAACAAAAAATGTGAATCAACTAAGGAAAAACAAATTGTGAGAGACTGAGGGAAAAAAAATCAATAAAATTTGGTGTTTAGGGCAAATACTCATGAGGCACTGGCTATTTCCCGACAAGGACAGCTGCTTTTCACTATGGAGCTGAAATAAAGCAGAATATTTAATGCTTCTAAGTTTAAAAAAGTATGGTAAATGTCCTCTTTAAAATTCCAAAATTACAGAAATGATTTATCTTGGCCTATCTGGTGACTTCCGTAACATAGTGAAAAGTCTTTATCTGTGTATTCTAAGCCAAGTATTAGTGTTTTAATGCACAACAAATTTGGGGACTTTTAAAATTCAAGCCATTATCGCTTTCAACTAACCACATTAGACTAAATTTCCCAAGAGATAAATAATTTCATGTTTCTCTAAATCTCTATATTTAAAATAGAAGATGTTTACAAAAATCTTCTTGCATGTTTTAAAAGTAAATCTACTATTTTTCATCTTATCATTTTTAATCCTCTTCTGAACAGTTTTTATACAGAGAAGTGTAAAATTACTATACTAAAAAAATATTTGACTGGAGAAATAATGTCTTCTTTATTTTAATAGTACTGGGGCTAACAACTTAAGATTTCAATAATTATTTAAATATCAAAAAAAAATCCTCAACACAGACTACAATCAGACTAAACAGGGCAGATTATTACTTACAAATAATTGGATATCCATCCCGGCTGGCACAGGCTGCTGCTAATATTCTTCCATTGTGAGAGAAATCGAGACAAAAACAACCCCGCTCTCCTGCATTTAGTGAGAAGAGGTGTTTGTTTGGGATACGGCAAGTCTAAAAAACATACATTTAATAAATATGTTAAGAAACATTGAAAACAAAGGCTAGCTATTAATTTTAATTACTGTAGTTTTGTGTTTTTTTTTAAAGTCCTCTTAATGTGATGTAGAGAAAGAGAAAAATAAGCAAGCAGAATGATGAAAAAAATCATAATAAACTATTTTCTAAACAGAGAATCAGTTCTCTATAAAATGCAATGAACTTATTCTTGATGTATAACTACTACTTACCTCATCTAAAATGAGACTAGAAAAATTGTAATATCTGATACTTTATTTTAGCTTATGCAACTTTATTGAAGAAAAATAAATCAATTACTAGCAGAGCTATCCATTGATCACTCATCCACTGACAATTTGCATCATTTACTCAATGCTATATTAAACAGTGTATTGGAAGAGAGATTAACTAATAGCTCTAAGCCTCCTAACAATCTAAATGAAAATTGAAAAGTGTTTGACTCTAATTTGAAATACAAAGAATGTTTGACTTCCAATTTCCATTCTCTGTAAGACAAGAACAGGTCATTCCTTTACTGACAAGCACAAAATACATCACACTTTCTGTTCTGCTGATGCTATAAATTCAATACCAGTTCTCTGCCCATGTAAGTTATGAGCATAAAGTATATCATGTAATGTCAAATCTCTAACAGTGGAAGGCTTAAAGTAGAATTGATGTTGCTAGAATAATGCTGCTTCCTTTGATGTGGCAACTGAGCATTCACCTCCCTTCCCCTCAGATGATTTCTTCAGCATATTAGAGCAGTGAGGGATGGTTTTAGTCTCATAATCAAGTTAGATTAAAGATACTGGCCACATAATACACATGCTCCATTTTTTTCTCTTAAATTCTGAATCTTGGGCAACTGTTCTCTTGTAACTACTTTACAGTTTCTAAAAGCAGTTATAGTCCAAAGTTGGAAGAGCAAGTCTTCTCAGATGAGCATGTGAATGAATAGTAGGAGATAAACAAACAAAAAATTTTAAAAAGATGAGGTCTATGGGACCAGCAGTTAGCATAATGACTATGCCGCTGGACTCCCACGAAGTTGACCGCAGTTCGAGTCCTGGACCCGGTGGCTTAAACTCACGCCGGGCACGTGTGCATGCATGCCCAAGATACCAAGAGGAGAATGGAGAAGAAGGGATTGTGGAGTGGCCATCCCCCCAGGGGATGATTTCTCGCTTTCTGTCTCTCTGTCTGTCTGGCGAGCGCACATACCCTATAGCAAAAACCTCTCCAAAAAAAAAAAGAAAAAATAGATGAGGTCTGATGGGGAGCAGCTAGATAAGAAAATCAAAAAAGGAACAGTAATTTAACGTTTATTCCAGCAATAATGCAGGTTATTCTGAGTTAAAGGTAGCATCATATGACATACTTCTAAGTCCATTCCCAAGATATACTGTTGGTACTCATCTCTGTCTGTTTCATAGATCCATTCAATCTCTGGCACTAGGGGATCATCTGGGTTTGGAGCGTATGGCAATGAACAAATGGATAAAAGAACTTTAGAAATAGTTACGAGACCGTTGTGATTTTAGAATATCAAGACAAATGCTGCCATTACTGTTAATATTTGGATGATAAATTCTTGTTGGAAATGCAACATTAGGTGGTTTGAAGGGGTAGTCGGTAGGAAAATGAATTGTCAAAAAGAATAAAGCACCGTGATACGGGCTGTCATTAGGTCCCATATTTGTGGCTTGCCAATGAAACATATCATCCCCAACTGGACCTGCAGAACACTGTGCTGGAGGGTCATGAGCTAAATCACTAAGTTCCTTATTAATCTACTCCAGTACCATAGTCTGTGCTTTCCATCTAGCTTCTATCTTAGTGTGTGCCTAAAGGTATGGCCAAAACTCTTGATTATCCAGGCAGCAGGGAAAGATGGTCTCACTCTGGCTCTGCCAGTTACTAGCGCAGAGGGGCCAGTGCTTTCCTCAAGCAGCAGCCTTGGCTTCGGCTTCCTCCCCGCCCTCACACAGCAACTGGGCCTCCCTGGACCTACTGGGCTCACGCGAACAGCACAGCCACAAGATGTCTGCTCTGTAATATCTGATACTTTAAAACTATCCTGGGCAGGGACCAGCAGTTAGCATAATGGCTATGTCGCTGGACTCCCATGTAGTCAACCGCGGTTCAAGTCCCGGACCCAGTGGCTTAAACTCACACTGGGCGCGTGTGCATGCATGCCCAAAATCCCAAGAGGAGAATGCAGAAGGGACTGTGGTGTGGCCACCCCCCCTGGGGGATGATTTCTCGCTTTCTATCTCTCTGTCTCTCTGGCAAGCACACGTGCCCTACAGCAAAAAGAACCTCTCAAAAAAAAAAAAAAAAAAGAAAAGAAAAATTGTTTTTTCTTTTTGTCTAGAGTACACTGAGTGATCAACATTCCTACTGTCTTTGCTAAATAACCCAAAATGAGCCACTCGACTCATTTGCACTGAGCTATGAAGGCCATTATGACTCCATTGTGTTTAGGTAGGGATGGAAAATACCCTTAGAAATGATTTACCTGGGACCAGCAGTAAGCGTAATGGCTATGCCACTGGACTCCCATGTAGTCAACAGCGGTTCGAGTCCCAGACCTGGTTGCATAAACTCACGCCAGGCACGTGTGCATGCGTGCCCAATATCCCAAGAGGAGAATGGAGGAGAAGGGATTGCGGCGTGGCCATCCCCCATGGGGGGGGGGGTGATTTCTCGCTTTCTATCTCTCTGTCTCTCTGGCAAGCGCAAGCGTCCTATTGAAAAACCTCTTCAAAAAAAAAAAAAAAGAAAAGAAATGATTTACCTGCTTGCTTCCCTTCTGTAAACTTCTGCATTGTAAGGCCATACCCCACAACCCTTTCAAGCCCACCACACCATGTTGTAAAAGAACGTGATTTTTGCCTTTATAAGCACTCCTCACCTTGCACTCGGGGATGAAGGGTTTTAAGAAACATGAGCTTCACCCTACCCCCAAGCTACCAACTTAACCAATAAAGACTATTTTAATTGGCTATGTCTGGATGTCCTCTGTTTCTCACTGATCAGACTATATAGCTTAAGGCTAGGACACATGAATGTTCAATTTGTCTTCCTCTCTTAAAATAACTATGCTTTGTAGCTGTCCCCCAAAATGCATTTTCAAAGTAATCAATAACCGCTGTCGGTCTCTCATTCATTAACTATATTAAAATTTCTTCATGAGCCAGCCCATGGCCTAGTGGTTAAGGAAAATAGATCCCACATGGTCAACTGTAGTTCAGGCTGTTTCAGTCTTAAAAAATTTTTGAGGCTCCCCAAAAGATTTTATTTGTTTAAAGATTTGCTTATGAGATAAATATAGATTTATCATATCAAAAATGAAAATTCAGATATTTAAAAAGTATTTGTTGGGGCCAGCACGTAGTGTGGTGATTAAGGCACTGGATTTACACATGACCTACTGCAGTTTATGTTCTAGAAAATCACACTGAGTGCATGTGCATGCCCGAAAATCTAAGAAGAGAAAGTTCTGCAGCATGGCTATCCCTAGAGGTGGGAGGATGATTTCTCACTTTCTCTTTCTCTGTCTCCCTCCACTAAGCACATGTGCCCTATGGCAAAACCTTTCGAAGAAAAAAAAGTATTTGTTAATTCACTTAAAAATAACAATAACTAATTCAGTAAATGTTAACATAAATCATATCTTTTTAATCAAAAAATAATTATATAAAAAACTGTTTTACATTTTGAAAATCTCCTTAATAACTGGCTTAATGAAAGAAAGATTTTTATAACTGCTTCTTCATTCATTCTCTTGTGATACAATGTGTCATTAAACCTCCAGAAAACTCTACTATATACTTGTGAGAGAATGCAAGTGAAAAAGACTAAAATCTTAGAATTACTATGAAAAGTTCACTTCAGGAATATCCAGGAAGGGTTTCAGGACTCCCAGAGTGCCCCAAACCACTCTGAGTACTGCTTATCCATACAATTACCTTTATACCTGTCTTTCCTTTAGGACTTCTCTGAGGCATACCTTAAAGTGAACAATATTGTAACTGGTTTCTTTCCCTCCTCTAACATGGAATGTCCCTAAGGGAATAATCTGAGTACTGTTTTCACCATATTATTTGTGAAGTATTACAAATCTGCTAATGTGATTTTAAAATGTATCCATAAACAGGTCTCAAAAAGAAAGTCAAATGTGATGAAAAACACAGAAAGAGGCCTGAGAAAATAATTCTTATTCATATACTGAATGTTTAGGTAAGTGAAGATTTTCAATAAATCTCATATGGTAATGGCTCAGATGTATAAAGCAAACCATTCTATTCTCTATATGGGAACAAGAAAGAAATCTGCAAAACTATATCAACAGTGCTTCTTGCCACTGCAAAAAAGACAGTAACCAAGTAGCAAAGGCTCAACTTATAGTACAAGAATATGCACGTATGTATCTCCATCAAAATGTGATTCAGGAAGAAGCCAAGAGCTATAAAAATTTTCACAAATACATAAAGACTGGGAAATAAATTTAAAAGTATTTGAAAAGGTGGGTAAATTAAAATGAGATTATTAGGGGAGAGTCCTAATCCAGTAAGACTCTGCTCCCATAAGAGGAAGAGACACCAGGCATATACACGCACAAATTAAAGATGTAAGCAGGCAACAGGAACACTGCCATCTGCTAGCCAAGGAGAAACCTCAGAGAAATCAACCCTGCTGGCACCCTGATGCTTACTATGAACTTTGTGCTGTATCCCCTCAAAATTCATATGTTGAGGCCATAATTTCCACTGTGATGATTTGGGGAAGTAATTAGGTTCTGAAAGAGGTACCTTCATGAATGGAATTTGTGTCCTTATGAAAAGAGGCACAAGTGAGGTGATCTCTCTCTACAATGTGCAAATATGGCATAGAAAAGGTTGTCTGCAAATGAAGAAGAGAACCCTCATCAGGAATCAAATTGGTTAACACCTTGATTTTGGACTTCTCAGCTTCTAAAATTATGAGGAATAAATGTTGTATCAACCACCCTGTTTGTGATTTGTTTGTTTGTTTGCTTTTGCTATAGGGCATGTACACTCACCAGAGAAACAGAAGGAGAAAAAAACAAGAATTTATCCCCCCTGGGGGTATGGCTACACAATTCCATCTCCATTCTCTTCCTGGGATTTTGGGCATGCATGAACATGTGTGCAGCATGAGTTTAAAGCCGCTGGGTCTGGGACTTGAACTGTGGTTGACCATGTGGGAGTCCAGTGCCTTTAACCACTATGCCATCTGCAGGTCCCTTGTGGTATTTTGTTATGGCAACCCTAGCAAACTATTACAACAGTCTGTAATAATGTACTTATATGTACCCTAATATGTACTTATATGTACACTATAAACACTCTTCATACTTTTTGTCAAATGAATCAACAAAAAGACTAAATTATAGTTAAGAACAAGGATAACCTAAACATTTTAAGTAGTAAACTATTGAGTTGTCAGAAAAGTCATGATATATTTTTTCTATGCAAAAATGTGTTATGACTTTTCTGACAACCCAATAAATATCCTAGAAGTAATAGCTTTTGGATAAATAAGTATCTAAATGAATCCAGTATTAGCAAACACTTCACCTGGCCAGGCAGTCGTTTCCACTTTACTACTTCCTTTGAATCTTCTAATCCAGGCTCTGTTTCTACTGAACTTGATTCATGGTGACGTTCACAGTACAATGGTTCACCTTTTTCCTCCTGAAGGGCCATCATAGAGCGGTAAGATGGTTTTATCTAAATAAGTATGGAAAATGAGAAAATGTATATATCATTGTTCATTTTTTTCTCTTTCCAAGCATATAGTTTTTAAAATCTTGAAAAAAAAGTATAGAAATATTTTTTGAAATGAAATTCTGAGAAAATTCTTTTATTTGTATATTCTTCTATTAAAAATTTTTTGTTCATAAAAAAAAAAGGGGATGCATGCAAGGTAGAGAAAGAGAAAAAGAAAATGAAAATGAAGGAAAGAGAGACCCTCAACAAAGTCTAATCTAATTCCCTTCTGTCAGTGCTCTAGTTTGTTAGAATCTTGAGCCAGCATGCACATTCACCCAGCATGTTTCAGGTTCATACTAGAGGCCAAACCGGAGGTCAGTCATGTGGCTTACAGTACTGGAGTTCAATATGCTACCAATTACACTTATTTGTACATTATACTAAATAAAATAAAAGCTGCTTGAAAGTAGTCTTATGACCAAAAGCCTAAAAAAAATTCTGGAAGCAAAAAATAGGATTCCAATGGTTATATGAAATGGTTTTAATAACTTCTCCCTTGTTTCTATTTCTTCATCATAATCTATCATATATTATGCCACAACTTGGGTATAGTACAATATTTTGGCTTTAAAGTCACAATTATAAAAAATATGAAATTTTTAAAATCTTTATTTCTCAATGATATATTTTATTTAACTCCACTCAACAAATGCAAACCATCCCTATGGTCACAGTATATAAAAATCAGCTATAAATGTACATCTGACCAGAAAGATTAAAGTCTTGTTACAAATAAGACAAAGGCAAAAGTTCATTTTAGAACCAATTCTTTTCTAAGATAATTTATATTTTTTAATGTATAGAAAGCAGCAGTACAGAAACTATTTACTGGGTATTTGAATAATATTATAAAAAAGAGTTCCTATAAATCAGGGATCTGCAAACTGCAGCCTATACATCAAGTCTGGTCTGCTGCCTTTTTGCAAATCAAGTTTTATTGAAAAACATTATGCCCATTTGTTCAGTTACCATCTACCTATATCTATGTGCCTACTTTCACACTAAAAAGGCAAAGTTTAGTGGTTGTGACAGAGACTAAATACTTTGCAAAATTTAGCCCATTATGGAAACTATTTGTCAATTTCTGCTTTAAATCATCCTTTTATCTTTTCTTTTTTTTTCAGTTTATTTACATCTTCCATAAGGAGAGAGAAAGAGAGACAGGCAGGCAACCGCGATAGAGTCCATGCCATGACCCATCCCATCTTTAGCCAAGCCAGATCATGGGGATGTATGTGCATGCCCTATATGTATAGGGAAACTTCAGGATGTGAAGCTAGGACCTTCCCATGTGGGTCACCATCACAGAATCCTATGTTGCCACTGCACCACTCAATCCTTTTACCTTTTGGCACTTCAAGATGAAATTATAACAAAACTTTTATCCAAACCTCAAATTCTGAATATTTGAAATTCATTTTAAATATCTTTTAAGTATCACTTATTTCACATTATATCACTGCTGAAGATACTTTGTATTCCAGAAATATGTTAAAATAATTTTAGAGACCTTATATATTTTTATAAATAGCGCATAATGTTACCCTTCAGTTTCAACAACAAAGGATATACATTTGCATGTGCAATTAACTTACACAGTCTGGTACTTTCAATCCTCTTACAGTTACATACAATGTTGATGGATAACGATTTCTTGGGCACTTTGACCACCATTCAAAAACCTCAACAACATTTAAATGGGATCGAGATTTAGTCGGTGGGTAATACAGCTGCAGGCGAAGTTTTGAATTGATGTTTACATTTCCATTGGCTCCCAGAAGCTTAAAATAAGAATTCATATAAAACATTACCTTCATTGAAAATACACAAAGCAACAGTTTAGTCAGAAATTCATTTTAAAAAGAATATGACATGCTGAAATCCTTAGATTTATACAAAGCAAATAACATTTTCACAGTTGGTTAAGAATAGTTCCAGGTAATTTGTGACAAAAAGGTAACCCAGAAGACTTTTAGAGTATTTTCCTAATAGCTCTCTTTTTATATGTACAACCTAGACTGGTGGTAAAATATTTACATTACTTTGCGAGATTTCACTTTGCACAAAGGAGATGATCAATACATATTTGTTTGAAATAATAATGATAAAGATTAAAATGCATATTGTTTCAACATAAAAACATTTTCCACTTGTTTAGTATCAATATTTTCTTTTCTTTTAAGAGAGATTTTTGCTAGAAGGTGCATGTACTTGCTAGGGAGACAGAGAAAGAGAGATAGAAAAGGAGAAATCACCCCCCCAGGGGGGATGGCCACAGAGCAATCCCTTTTCCTCCATTCTCTTCTTAGGATTTTAGGCATACATGCACATGTGCCTGGTGTGAGTTTTAAGCCTACAGGTCCAGGACTTGAACCGTAGTTAGCCATGTGAGAGTCTAGGGATGTAATTGCTACACCATCTGTTGGTCCCCAGTATCAATATTTTCAATGGTTAAAATTTTCTTGTTTTAATTTTTTAAAAGTCAAAACTATTTTCAGATCACTAAACTCATTAAAGTGATTGATTACATTTTTTCAGTATCTTGGCCTACTTTCTTCAAAAGGTCTGTTTAAAAAACTATTAAACAAAACAACATATATTTATGCTAAAAAGGGATTCTTGTGAGAAAAATGAAAATCTCACCAGAATAGGTCCTCTTTCACTAAACCATAACTCTAAACAGAAAATGTCTTTCTAATCTTTGGGTCTTATACAAATTAGGAGTAAAGAGTAGGTGAAAGCTTTTGTAGCAATTCAGGCAGATTATTATGCTAACTTATATTAGAAGAGTAGCCACTGAGTGGAGAAAAGGCATTTAGTAATTGTTATTGACTGAGTGAAAAAAACATTTAGTAATCGTTATTGACTGATTCAACTTGGAAAGTAAAAAAGGCTCAGAAAAGGGACCAGCAGTTAGTGTAATGGCTATGTCGCTGGACTCCCACGTAGTCGACCGCGGTTTGTGTCCCGGACTCGGTGGCTTAAAATTCACACCAGGCACATGTGCGTGCATGCCCAAGATCCTGAGAGAATGGAGTAGAAGGGATTGCGGCACGGCCATCCCCCCAGGGGGTGCTTTCTGTCTCTCTGTCTCTCTCTGTCTGGCGAGCACACGCGCCCTATAGCAAAAACCTCTCAAAAAAAAAAAAAAAAAAAAAGGGTCAGAAAATACCCTAAGGTAGCATAGCACTGTCCAACAGAACTTCCTAAGGCAATGGGAATCTCTAGATTTTGCTACCCATAAAGAATCCACCAGTCCTATGTGGCTACTGAATGCATTTGGAGTCACTAGTACATCACGGAACTGAATTTTAACTGTTTAATTTTAATTAATTTGAATTCAAATAGCTACATGAATTGTGGTTACCAAACAAGACAGTGAAGCTCTAAGGCCATGAATTTGAGAGTGGCTAAATGGTAGTACCACCAACTGAGGTACCAGAGAGCAAAGGGGGAAGAAATTAAGTAAGATGCTCAATTTGAGTTAGTCTGAGATATCCATGCATGTATGTATGCATGCCCCAAATTCTGAGAGGACAGAGTAATGAAGAAAAGAGGACTGCAGCATGATCATGCCCCACTGGTAGGTACCTTCTCTTTTTCTCTCTGTCTCTAGCACCCTCTGGCAATTATAAAATAAAGAGGTGGGTGAAAGACCATGATGGAAACCTAAGGAAGGGTATGTGGAGAAATGAGGAAAGGGTGGTAACAAGAAAACCAAAATAACATTTTCAAGATGTATTAGTAGCACATAGATGTGTCAAAATAATAACTGAAAAATATTCAGTAAATTTGGCAAATAAAAGACATTAGACAAACTTTAGCGGCAGAGGCAAAATCCAGACTGTAGCGTGTTTAAGAACGAAGTATCGACAAAAACAGAGATGGAAAACTACAACCCATCTATTCCCTCACCTCTCTAGGAAAGGAAGATAATAGACATCTGAGATGTTAAGTCACTAAATCATAAGCATTTTAGACTCCTTTCATAAACCTACCTGTCTTCTCAAAGTTTATTACAGTGATTTTTAAAGAGACATTCCCCAGTTTCTAAATCATACTTTTCATAAGTTGTTTTAATATACACCACGCAATCTAGTTTACACAAGTATATTGCTTAACATGAATTAACAGCTTCGACCCAGCCAAGATGCTACCACTAATGTTTACCAAGTATATAACATAGAGGTCAAACAAATAAGACTTTATTTTATAGTTTTAAAGAGTAATCACAATATGTGCTAAAAAGAACTGAAAGTAACTTAGAACCTGAGGCATAGCTGGGAGTTAGGATAAATGTTCATTTGGACCACTACAATAACTTTATAATGAGATATTATAAAGTTTATTATTAATAATAAAGGTAATAAAACATTTAAATTTTAATTTGAATCATGGCACTTTCTTGAAGATGAATTTTATCCTAGTCACCCTTTCCATTCATCAATTCTCTGAATAGAGACATTCGTCAAGTACTTCCTGTATGCTGGAGATCTGTTGATAATATGAACTATAGTTTTAAGAGAGTGATATATTAAATGTAGAGAGATCAAGTAAAATAAGGACTGCAATGATAAAAATTTTTACCCAAAGAAGTCACTGATGACACTGAAAAACTTACAGGCTAATGAAGGAGATACGTAGTGTTAGAAGAGAGGAATACTTTACCTTTTTAATAAGGGATAGGGATGGGATCAGGGAGAATTTTTGAATGCTATTTCTGTCAACAGCATAACATGAATAAATAAATAAAAACCCATGTAACATTGTACTTAAATATAAAATGTATGAAATATGTTATTATTTCTCAAGCATTATTTATAGTAAATACTAAAGATCTGCACAAATCTTAGCACAAAAAAGATAGAGCAATTTCTAATAAAACCACAAGATGGCAATGTTTACTATGTGAAAGTGAACTTCTGTTGGTTTTTTTTTTCCCCCCCCCCTTTTTTTTTTTTTTTTTTTTGTAAGTTAGTGTGGGAAGGGCTATAGAAAAAGGTAAAATTTTAGAAGTGTGAATTGAAAGGCACCCAGCAACACATGATTCCTGAGGCCACTCTCAAACTGTGTTCTCACCCCAGCCAATGACTACATCTTTCTTCTCCAATCCCAAATGATCAAATGCCTCAACTGGGTTTTCACAGAATCTACTCCATAGCATGTAAACATATAGGTAATATGCTCATGTAGAACTGAATTGAAAGGCAGGTAAAATGTCTAACTTACCTATGAATGCTCTATACTTAAGAGTTCTTAACATTTCATGAACACTAACACATATTTGATGAATTAATAAATTACACAAATGGAAAAGTTCTTATAAGATGATACAAAACAGGCTAATTTCTTAAGACTTTTCATAACTCAAACTTAAGAATAAAAGATTATTGTTAAATTAAAAATTTCCCTTTTTTTTTTTTTTTTGAGAGATTTTCACTGTAGGGCGCGTGCGCTCGCCAGACAGACAGAGACAGACATAGAGACAGAAAGCGAGAAATCACCCCCCAGGGGGGATGGTCACACCGCAATCTCTTCTCCTCCATTCTCCTCTCGGGACCTTGGGCACGCACACACACGCGCCCGGCGTGAGTTTTAAGCCACCGGGTCCGGGACACGAACCGCGGTCGACTACGTGGGAGTCCAGTGACATAGCCATTACGCTAACTGCTGGTTCCCTAAAATTTCCCTTTTTTTGAGTTTTTTGCAATTGGGAGCATATGCTCGGCAGAGAGAAAGAGAAACAGAGACAGTGAGAAGGAAAGAGAGAAATCATCCCCCAGCAGGGAGGGCCACCACAATCCCTTCTCCTCCATTTTCCTCCCAGAATTTGGGACAAGCGCTCACACATACCCAGATTGATTTTCTTTTGTTTTTGTTTCTTTTAGGTTTTTGCCATAGGGCATGGGTGCTCTCAGAGAGAGACTGAGAAAGGGAAACTGAGAAGTCATCCCCTGTGCCCTGGATGGCCACAGGGCAGTAACTTCTCCTCCATTCTCCTTTGGCATGTACACATAAGTGCCCAGCGGGATTTTCAAGCTATCAGGTCTGGGACTCAAAACAGAATCAGCATATGGGAGTCCAACATCTTAACTACTACTACACCTGCTAGCCCCCCAATTTTTCTTTTCTTAAAAAAAGTCTATGTCTTTTTTATTTATTTATTTATTTTTATTTTATTTTTTTTAATTTAATTTAATTTTTTTTTGGAGAGGTTTTTAATATAGGGCGCGTGCACTCACCAGACAGACAGAGAGAGACATAGAGACAGAAAGCGAGAAATCACCTCCCAGGGTGGATGGTCACGCGGCAATCCCTTCTCCTCCATTCTCCTCTCGGGATCTTGGGCAGGCACACACATGTGCCTGGCATGAGTTTTAAGTCACCGGGTCCGGGACGCAAACCACGGTCGACTACGTGGGAGTCCAGCGACATAGCCATTATGCTAACTGCTGGTTCCCAAGTCTATGTCTTTTATCTTTGCTGAGACATCCTAGTAAAAGATGCCATCATATTGTACCAGACTACTACATGATTTCCTAACTAGATCTTCCAGTATCTACCTCTGCTCCAGATCTCATTCATTCTAATTCATTATCCAAAAAGTAGAGTACTCTTTCTAAAACATAAATCATCTTGTTTTTTTCTTTTGTTTAAAATCCTATGATTTCCCATTGCTCTTTAAAATTCTTATTATTTCTTTTCTTTTCTTTTTTTTTTTTTTTTTTGAGAGATTTTTTGCTATAGGGCACGTGCACTTGACACAGAAACAGACAGAGACAGAAAGTGAGAAATCATCCCCTGGGGGGGATAGTCACACCACAATCCCTTCTTTTCCATTCTCCTCTCAAGATTTTAGGCATGCACATGCGCCTGCACCTGGTGTGAGTTTTAAGGCACCAGGTCCGGTTCTCAAACCACAGTCGATTACGTGGAGTCCAGAGATGTAACCATTACGCCATTTGCTGTTCCCAATTGCTCTTTAAAATTCTATAATGGCTTCCTGTTGCTAAAATGGCTTAGAAGATCCCATGTAATCAAGATTGCACTGACCTCAGCAAGTTCATGATACACCATTCTCCCCCTCAGTCTCTGTTCTCCAATCTTAGGTCTTCTTCTGGTTATCTGAATACACTTGGCTCCTTTCAATATCAGGGTCTTTGCATATGTTGTACCCTCTACAGAGATGTATTTCATTCCCACTGCCAACATCTAGCTAATGCTCAGGTTAAAAGTTTCTTCCATAGGAAACTTTTCCCTGTCACCATAGCACTCTTGTTTTTAATCATCTACCCTGAATCTCTTCACAGTATGTACAAAATTTGTAATTAAGTATTGTAGGGCTGGCCCTATAGTACAGTGGTTAAGTGCTCTGCAGAAGTAGCCAGACCCTACATTGCTTACCAAGGTTCAAATTCTGGCCCTGGCAGCTTGAAAAATCTGCGGGGCACATGTGTATGTGCCTAAGATACTAAAGGGGTGGAGAAATGGAAAAAAGGATTGCAGTGTTACTAGGTCCCACTGACTGTGCATGTGGTCTTTTGGTCTTTCTCTCATGCCTGCACATGCACCATCTGACCGAAAAAAAAAAAAAAAGCATAATTAATTGTTTCATGTTTGCTTTCTTACCAAGATATGAAGCCCATGAAGTCAAAGACCTCTTTTTCACTGACTAGGACAAGGGATGTCACAAAGAGGGGCTTATTAAATGTTTGCTGAACTGAATAGGAGATGTCAGGGCTGTGTATATCTTATTCAATGCTATATCCTCAGAGCCAAATAGTGTAACTGGGGCATACTAGGCAATCAGTAAGTATTTAAGAAGAATCTGAATGAGCATCATCTGAGCTTGAGTTAATAATTCTTCACCATTATAATCTTACCCTAGTTCATAACTATATGAGACCAAACTGACTTGGGAAAAAAAGGAGTGAAATAGTTGTAAAAATTATTTTTAGAGTGTAAAATATGAATGAAAACATACCTTTAGAAATGCCCAGGCAATTTTCCGAAAACCACACTCTTGGTTTTGAATCTCAGAGTTATTCTTTATTTCATCCATGCTTAAGAAATCAAGAATCTGCAAATAATTTTTCAAAAATTACTTTACAGAACTCTAGATTACTGAAAATTCAATATTTTCTAATAAAATTATTAAAAAAAAGAAAATCTTTTGTATACTTAAAAATGTTTTTCTTATAAAGGGAGTAAAAACATTTTTCTCATTTCATTCACCGTAATGTTAGCGCATTTAGTTATTGAAGGTCCAGTTTTTACTTTACCTTTTATTTATAAATATTGTTTTAAAATTTATTTTTTATTTAATTTTCCACTTTATGATTTATTTACATTCAATTATTGTACATCTCTATAGTACACAATATAGGTTTTCAAAGTATGCATGAAGTATACAACAATCAAATCAAGGCTATTACAATATACATCATTTTCAACAGAAAATGTGTTTGTCAAATGTTCTGTGTTTGTTAAATCTTTCTTCCCTGAGCCCCTTTCACTAGTCTTCTACCGTCTATACTCATCTTCTCTGCTATTACATCTTTGAATCTTTCAATTTCTTTTTCTTTTAAGTATTTATTGTAATTTATATATAATCATTACACATCTTTGTAGGCCACAGAATGGTCTTTAAAAGCATGTACAGTTTGTGTAATAAGCAAATTGAGGATGTAAACATATTCACCACCTTTAACATTTAACATTATTATATAGGGAACATTTGAAACTTGCTCCAGTGGTTATTCTGCAAGTATGTACTGAACTGACATTTACTGTGAGGTATAGTTCTAAAGCAAAACATATTGATTAAACAATTAAAACATATTGATTAAACAACAAACAATCTCATAAATTAATGAAAATAATCTTTTTTCTTTGAGAGACTTTTGCTAGAGTGCTTGCATTCACTGGATAGACAGAGATACAGAGAGACAGAAAGTGAGAAATCACCACTGCCACCCTCCACCCCCAGAGAGATGGCTATGCTACAATCCCTTCTCTATTCTCATCTCAGAATTTTGGGCACGCATGCATGTGCACCCAGCGTGAGTTTCAAGCCACCAGCTCTAGGAATTGAACTGAGGTTGGCCATGTGGGAATTCAGTGCCTTAATCACTACGCCATGTGCTGGCCCCAAAGATAATGTTAACAGAGCCAATGAAAGACGAATCTGTAGTTTCCAATTAGAGGACTATGGGAGATGAGAGTTTATAATCTGAGAAGTCTGTGGGTATCAGTTATCGGTTCAGTTAGTGACAGATAAATCATCAGTGCAAATGTCAATATAGTTAAGAAGGCAAATATCTTCTTTGTGCTAATAGTTAACATGATAATAGTTTTGCCTTCTTATACTGCCAAAAGGTGTCAGAGACATTCCCATCACCACCACAGCTAAGGATCTGTGGTCCACACTTAGATAACAACATTTACATACCAACTTGCTAAATATACATTCGCATTAGCTGAAATAGCTGATCAATCAAATCTTACCTTTCTGGTATAATATCTTCTTGAACAAAAGAAAATATGTATCCATATTAGATGAGAAAACACCACATTTTAAAAATTAGAATGAACAAATTATAACTTTTTGGTAGTAAAAAAAAATTTTTATGCTATAAAGCTGTACAATGATTGAATGTAAAAAACGTAAGAAAACAAAAGAATAAGCAAATTCATCATGTTGAGGTTCTTTATAAACTTTAACAGTCTGAGTTTATAAAATGTCCCCAGAAGAGACTACTCTATCTTTTTTAAACTGGAAGGGAGGTTTTCTCTACTTCCCTTTGTTTTATAGAGAGAAGATAAGATAGAGAAAAGAAACCTGATTTTTTTTAGGTTCAAACTATCTTCAGATAGAATTACCTACACTTAAAATTGAAGAAACTTTGAGGAAATCACTTGGACTCCAAACCTTGTTATACTTTCAGTAGAAAAAATTAGAATAACAAGTCAGCTCAAAGGCTAGGTGTTCCATGAAGCTTTCTCTGATTCCCCTGACCCTCCAACCCCTACCAACCTCTTAGATCTAAGAAGTCTATATAATTTCCGATTACATAATGTACTATACTAGTCAAATGATCTATGTATGTTTATCTTTACTTGTCTAGGTAGGATACATACTCTTAAGGAATCTATATAGTTAAATGAGTTTACACTCATTTGTGAAATGGGTTAAGAAGGGAAGACTGCATTCATATAGTTTAGATCAATCAGTACATCCCAAGTCACGAGATTGTTCTATAGATTAAATGATACAGTATAGATTAAATGGCTAACTACTAGCACTAGTAAATGCTAATCAAATATGCTAGTACTATTTTTAAAAAGACCTCTCACTTGTATTTCCACAAATTTAAATCCTAGGGATGAAATTCTTAAATTACTTTGTTGCATTACTGAATTATTAAAAATGACAGCTTATATTTGTTATATTAAATATAAACTAAAATTTAGTTTCACTGCTCTATTCAATGCATACCTCAAAGAACAGAATGACTTTAGGACTCTCATCAAAATCTCGAAGCAAATAGGGAAAATTTTCATTAAATATAATTTGTTCTTCCCACTCTGGAAGTCTTGATTTTAACTGTTTAAAATCATATGGCTGAGTCATAATAGGAAGAATATAATCCACATTCTCTTTTTCATAATAAGATGAAACAGGCCGTTCACTGTTCAAAGAAAGATACTTCCATCAACATAATACTTTATGATAATTTTGAAACAGTGACAAAATACATGCAGTGTACAAGGTAAGACAACAAGAAATAATTAATAGCCATAATGATAGAAGAAAAATTGTTTTTATTATACATCTATAAAACTACAAATCCTGAAAGACTTACAAAGCAGTGATACCTTACTACACCTCACTTTTTATATACCACCAGTTGGTTTTACAGAACTGTAACAAAAATATAAAGCAAGAAGTATTACTGCACCTTTATTTTATAGAGCTGGAATAAAGTAACTTCTTCAGAGTAATTCCTATAGAATTTTAAATAAATTTGTGATAAAGTAGTACAGTACATTTATTTAAATTAGAAAAAGAGCACTACATTGTAAAACCTTTGAGCTGTCATGTTTTTAGTGTGTCCTAAGTCCACTGAATATGTGAATGATTTTTATTGAATATCTTTACATTTTCACCTCACCATCTCCTTCTTTCTTGCTTCCTTTCCCTTCCCTACTTCCTTCCTTTTTTATTGCCAGAGGACTCATGCACTCACTTCCCAAAGAGAAAGAGAAAAAGGGAGAAAGCACCAACAAATGGGGCATGGTTACACCACAATCCTTTCTCCTCCATTTCTCTATTCTGCAAGAATTTGGCTATATGCATGTACATATGCCTGGTTTGTTTTTCAAGCTGCTGGGGCCAAGATTCAAACTGTGTAGTTGGTCATGTGGGATGTGGCTTCCTTAACCACGAGGCCACAGGGCTGCCTTCCTTCTCCAGTCTTCTTTCTAGGCAAATAATTTTTTTTTTATTATAATCATCTTCTTTTTGCTTGGGCCTTTAACCAGGTATAAGCTATGGAAATAATCTTTGTAAAAAAATTCAAGACTCATTTACCTCACCTGAAGCCCAAAAGAAAAATATAATTATAGCACTTATAGTGCAATATAATGTAATATAAGATGATATGCGATTCAAGTTTTATACTAAAAATTAGTCACTAAGCTTCACAGAAATTCTCTACCACTTAAAATGAATTACTCCCCTCTACTTAAAAATGAAGGGACCAGCAGATGGCATAATGGTTACAATGTTGAACTCCCACATAGTAGACTGTGGTTGGAGTTTCAGACTGATTAGCTTAAAACTCATGCCTAGTGCATGTGAATGGATGACCAAAATCCCAAGAAGAGAATGAAAGACAAAGGACTGAAGTGTGGCCATCTCCTCTAGGGGTGATTTCTCACCACTTTCTGTCTTTCTGTCTGTGTCTCTATCCAGTAAGTGCATGTGCCCTATAGCAAAAATCTCTCTCAAAAAAAAAAAAAAAAAAAAAAAGAAAAGAAAAAGAAATTATCTATTGAATTAACAGAAGATCCCTATTTCTTATATACAACACACCAGTCAATGTCAATGGCTAATGAACACCTACCAGTAACAGACTATTGTTTAATGCAAATCGGTAGCTCTAGTCCAACTGACTTTTAACAACCAACAGCAAAACAGAGGATTTTCAGAGTAGAAAGTTTCCATTTAAAAAGTGAGCTATGTAATTAAAAATAGTTACCTGTCATCTTTTTTAACATATTGACCCGTATTCTCATCAACTACGTGTATTTTTACCATTGGGTGAGAAATCATAAAATCTGATTTAAGTCGATCAGTTCGGTGAATGTAAACTCCCAAGACAAGGTCATCATCAAGCAAACATTTGGGATAAACAGGACTATCTCGGCTGGTTACTTCATGAACACCATCACCATCAATGTCTTCATTATCATCTGAAACTACACACATGGAAAAAAATCAATATTATAACTAATTCTTCTTATAGGCAGATTTATATATCCTTGTTAATAAAGGAAATTCAAGGGAAAATAAAACATCAGACAGTAGCAAACCACACTCTGAATATAAAATACTGAATTTACTAATGCATTAAAATAAGACAAAGAATATTGTTTTCCTAACAATTATAATACAAAAAGGAAAAAAATGTGAGTTGAACAAAAATGTAATTTTATCTAGGAATTTTCTAGGTGGGCTATATATCACTCGATTCACTTAAAACTGGAATTGATTTTGGAGAGAGACTAGGAGGATATAACAAGTTGAAACTTCAGGTATTATCTGGAAAAAGTTAAGTAAATTGCAAAAGTCTTATTTTAAATGTATCAGGAAGGTATGGAACCAATATATGTGTGCTAGATGGATTAAAGTTCCACAGAGGAAGAATCAGAGTGTAAGTCAATGGACTGGCAGTTGTTTTTGTCACTGGGAATATTTGTTGGCATGGTGTAGGCAGAGGATCAGTCTGGCACAGATGGGAAGTTACTATAGATAGAAGAAATTAACACATAATATAGATAGAAGAAATTAATAAAATAGGACACAAATGTAAAATAGAGAAAATCAAAGTTAGTTATTAAGAGAAAATAAATTACTAACATCATAGATGGAGTATCTTTTCAGATGCAACAGACATTCAAATGTGAAAACTAGGATTAAATGGACATATACCTCACAGATATTGTGGATTCAGTTTGAGATCACTACAATAAAGTAATTGTTTTAACAAAGTAAGCCATGTAATTTTTCTTTTGTTTCCCAGTATATGTAAAATATTATGTTTACATTATATTGTAGTCTTTGAAGTGTACAATAGCATTATATCTAATGAAATATACATATCTTAGTTAAAAATACTTATTGGTAAAAAATGTAGATATCTTAGTTAAAAATACTTACTAGTAAAAAATGTTAACAATCATCTGAACCTTTAACAAGTCATAATCTTCTGCTGGTGGAGAGGGTATGGCCTCAATGTTGATAGCTGCTGACTAATAAGGGTGGTGGTTGCTTAATGTTTGTGTGGTTGTGACAACTTCTTAAAATGATACGAAAATGAAGTAAGTTTGCCACATTGGATAACTTTCTTTCACCAAAGATTTCTATGCTGTTTCATACCATTTTACCCAGAGTAGAACTTTCAAAACTAGATGGGGACTAGCAGGTGGCGTGGTGGTTAAGGTGCTGGACACTCTCACATGGCCAACCACAGTTTGAGTCCTAGACCTGGTGGCTCGGTTTCTCACTTTCCCTCCCTCGCTCTGTGTGGCTCTCTCTGGCCAAATTAAAATAAATAAATGAATAAATAAAATTAAATAATTCTTTAAAAAAAAAATCTAGAGTCAATCCTCTCAAACTCTACCACTGTCTATCAACTAAATTTATGTAATATTCTAAATCTATTGTTGTTATTTCACAGTATTCACAGCATCTTCACCAAAAGTACATGCCATCTTAAGAAATCACTTCATTTGTCTATCCACATAAAAATCAACTGCTCCAAGTTTTATCATGCATTGTAGTGATCCAATCACATCTTTAGGGCTCCACTTGTAACTCTTGCTATTTCCATCTATCTGCAATTACTCTCAGCAACTACTGAAGTCTTGAACCCCTCAAAGCCATCCATATGACTTGAATTTTTTCCAAGCTCCTGTTGATATTTTCTCATGAATCATAAATGTTCTTAAAGGCATCTAGAAAAATGAAGACTTTCCAGATGCCTTTTCAGTCAGGTTTTCAATTGATTTTGCCCAGATCTATCAAAAGAATCACTACCTATGATAGCTATACTCTTATTAAATGTATTTCTTAAATAATAAGACTTAAAGTCAAAATAACTCCTTGGCTCATGGGCTATGGAATAGATATGTTACCAGGGATGGAAGCAATATTAATTTCCCTGTATATCTGCAGACATTCAAATGTGAAAACTAGGATTAAATGGACATATAGGGATACCTCACAGATATTGTGGGTTCAGTTTGAGATCACTGCAATAAAGTAAATGTCTTAACAGAGCACTTGGGGTAACCAGGTGTGTATTATCAACGAGCAATAGTATTTTGAAAGTTTTTTTTTTTTTTCCTGAGCAGTAGGTCTCAGTAGTGAACTTAAAATACTCAGTAAACCAGGCCAGCAGATGGTGTGCTGGTTAAGGTCCTGAACTCCCACATGGTCAACCATAGTTCAAGTCCTGGACATGGTGGCTTGCTTTCTCACTTTCCCACTCTCTCTCTCCCTGTCTGTCTCTGTCTGGGGAGCATAAAGTCATAAGGTGAATTTAGTAATAATAATAAATAAAAATTAAATAATTTTTAAAAATTCAGTAAACCATGATGTAAAAACATGTGTTGTAATCCAGGCTTTGTTGTTCTATTTACATAACACAGGCAAAGTAGATTTAGCACAGTTCTTAAGGGCCCTAGGATTTGGGGAATGGTAAATGATCATTAGCTTCATCTTCAAGTTACCATCTTCAAGTTACTGCCTTAATTTCTAACAAGAAAGACCATGCTTTGATGTTTTAAATCCAGGCATAGATCTCTCTCTCTCTCTTGCTATTAAAGTTCTAGATACCATATTCTTCCAATAGAAAGCTGTCTCTTCTACATTGAAAAGCACTTGTTCAGTTCAGCCATTTGAGCGAATCAATGTTCTTAGCTAGATCTTCTGAATAAGTTACTGCAACTTCTACATCAGCACTTATGCTTCACTTTGTACTTTATCTTATAGACACAGCTTTTTTTTCCTTTCTCTTTTTTTTTTTTTTGAAAAGAATTATTTTATTTAACTTTCTTTGTTCATTTCTTTTTTTCTAATTTTGACCAGAGAGAGACAGAGTGAGAGAGAGGGGGAAAGTGAGAAAGCAAGCCACCAGGTCTGAGATTTGAAACATGGTCGGCCATGTGGGAGTCCAGTGCCCCTTAACCACCACGCCTTTTGCTGGCCCCCTTTCTTTCATTTTTTAAAGAGGTTTTTACCTTAGGGCACATGAGTTTGCTGGAGAGAGAGATAGCGAGAGGGAAAGCTAGAAGTCACTCCCCAGGGGGAATGGCCATGCCACAAAGCCCTTCCCCTCCCTTTTCCTCCCTGGACTTGGGCATACACACACATGTATCCAGTATGAGTTTCAAGCCACCGAGTAAAGGACTCAAACTGCAGTCTCCCATGTGGGATCCAGTGATATAACTACCACTCCATTTGCCAGCCGCAAGACAGCTTTTTTCTTTAGGCCTCATGAACTAACCTGTGCTTCTAGCTTCCAAAATTTCTTCTGTAACTTCCTCACTTCTCAGCCTTCAAAGAATTGAAGAGAGTTAGGGGCTTGCTCAGATTAGATCTGACTTATAGGTATGCTGTGACTTGTTGATCCTCTATCCAGACCAATAAAACTTTTTCCAGATCAACAAGGATGTTCACTTTCTTATCATTTGTTTCACTGGAGTAGCACTTTTAATTTCACTGAATAATTTCTCCTTTGTATTCTCAACTGGCTCACTAGAGTATATCTCAACTTGCATTCCTCCGTAAGCTTAATTATTTCTAGTTTTTTAAATCCAAGTATGGCTTTTCTTCTCACTTGAATACTTGGAGGACATGGTAGGGCTACTAACCGGCCTAATTTCTATATAGTTGTGTTTCTAGAATAGGGTAGCCTAACAGGGAGAGAGATGGAGAACAACCAGTTGGTGGAGCAGTCAGAAGACACATATTTATCAATTAAGTTCACTGTCTTCTATGAAAGGGGTTCATGGCGTCTCCAAAGAATTATAATATCAGAGATCACTGTTCACGGATCACCACTACAAATACAGTAATGAAAAAGTCTGAAATATTCCAAGAATTATCAAAATGCACCACAGCGACTGAAAGTGAGCACACGCTACTGAAAAAATGGTGCCAACCAATTTGCTTGATACAGGGTTGCCACAAACCCATGATTTGTAAAGACTGCAATATCTGTGAAGCACAATAAAGTGAAGCTCAATAAAATGAGGTATGTTTGCGTTCCTCAAGGAATAGTCTATCAAAGTTAACAGAAGAACTACAAAGTGTGAAAACATTAATATTCATTGAAGAATCTAAGTTTGATTTAAAATTCTTTCTGCAAGGAAAATGTCAGTCTAATAGTCTTCATCAGTAATTTATCCACTTAGGGAAGAAATAACACTAATCTATGCAAATATTTTCAAAGAATTAAAAAAGATAAAATATTTCTCAACTCTTTTTTTTTTTTTTTTTGAATGTTTTTGCCATAGGGTCCATGCACTTGCCAGAGAGACAGAGCAAGCTAGAGAGAGAGAAAGTGAGAAATCATCCACTGGGGGGTAGGCTGCACCACAATCCCTTCTCAATTCTCCTCCTGAGATTTTGGGCATGTATGCACATGTGCCTGTTGTTGAGTTTCAAGCTGCCAGGTCTAGAACTCAAGCTGCGGTCAACTATGTGGGAGTCTAGCACCTCAATCACCACATCACCTGCTGTTCTGATTCCCAGCTCTTTTGGGACCTCCAAAACCTAATAGCAAAACTCTGGGTATTTTGAGAAGGAAGAATACAAATTAACTTTTCTCATGACCATAGATAGAAAATCCTACACAATGTACCAACAAACCAAATCAAGAATAAAGAATAATCAATCAAGTTGAAGAAGAAAAAACCTGGAGTACACTAACAATCAAAGTTACAGTAATTAAGACATGGTGGTATTTGTACAAACTAATGTAACAGAATAGAAACCAGAAAAACTGATCAACATTTAATGTCATGTTATGATAAAAGTGACACTGCAATACAGAATGAAAGACACTCTTTTCCAGTAAATGGCACTAGGTTAGACATAAATTCACATGGGAAAAAAGTGTCCTGATCACTGCTTCCCACTGTATACAAAATCAATTCCAGATGAATTGCAGATCTAAATGTGAAAGTAAAAGTTTTATGAATGTATGCATGTATGTATTTTTGCCACAGGGTGTGTGCACTTGCTGGAGAGACAGAGCAATACAGAGAGATGGTGAGAAATCACCCTCTAGGAAGGTGACTCCATGTCACAGTCCCTTCTCCATTCACCTCTTGGGATTCTGGGCATGCATGCATATGTGCCAAGTGTGATTTTTCAAGCCTATGGGTCCAGGACTCAAGCTGGTCAGCCATGAGGGAATTCAGAGCCTTAACCACCATGTTACCTGCTGGTCTCCAAAGTAAGACTTTTAGAATAATGATTTTAGGACTTAGGAAAGATTTCTCTTTTTTTGCAACTGCCATAATTCATGTGTGTTCTCCAGGGAGTAAGAGAGAAAACACCCCCCAAATTGAGTATAGTCACACTGCAATTCTTTTTCCTCCATTTCTCCATCATGTCAGGATTTTAGACATATACACACATGAACCTAGCATGTTTTTCAACTCTCCAGGCTAGGAATGGAAATGCAGTTGGCCACATAGGATCTGGTTTCATATATGTTGTGCTTACTTTTGTGCTATGGGGACAGTCTGGGAAAGATTTCTTAAATTATAGAAAAAACTTTAGAAGAAAAAAAATGTAGGCTATATACAAACTTCTGTTCTTCAAAAAATACCAAAAGAGAGAAACAATAAAACCCCAAAATAGGTGTTATTATTTATAATATTTGAGGAGTCAACAAAAGGTTTGTGGAAAATGAACATTATACATAGACTTCAAAATTTTGTTGTATCCAAATAAATTCATATTTTAATTCTATTTTTCAGTGAACCTGTGAAGTCCCCTCATGAGATGCTTCAAAGAAAAGTTCAAAAAATTTTAATTATAAAAAGCACAAAACATCACCAATTGTTTCTCTATGGAAAACATATCATATACTTTAAAACTGTCTATTTTAATCCCAAGTTTTAGGGACCAGTAATTGGTGTAATGGCTATGTCACTGGACTCCCATATAGTTGACCACGGTTTGAGTCCCAGACCCGGTGGCTTAAACTCACGCTGGGCGCATGTGTGTGCATGCATGCCCAAGATCCCAAGAGGAGAATGGAGGAGAAGGGATTGCAGCATGGTCATCCTCCCTGGGGGGTGATTTCTCTTCTCTGTCTGTCTTTCTGACTAGTGCACGTACCCTATAGTAAACACCTCTCCAATAAATAAATAAATAATCCCAATTTTTAGCCAATTAAATGGAAACTAAAAGAGGGGAGAAAAAAGGATGCAGTAAGCAACAAAGAAATAAAAAGAAAAAAAGAGAAAAAAGGAAAGCAAAATACGAGAAAAGAGTAAGATAAAAAGCAACAGGAAAAAGGAAAGTTGAAAAAAAAAGAGAGAAGCAAAAAAAAAAAAAAGAAGCAGAATTAGGCTAAGGAATTGAGAAGATACTGTGTTTCACAAAGGGAGATGCAGGTTTAACACCTGAAATGGTTATTAGTACTTTCAACAACTGGGTCTTAACCTTAGAGGTTCTAAACTCAATGGTTCAAAGAAATTTGCAATGCACAACAGCAACTACAAAATGAGTATCATTGTAGAGCTGAATTAAACTGAGTATTAGAGATAACTCAAATAATACAAACTCACCAGAGACCCACAGTTACAAACAAATGAATGTTTTAATCTAGATGAATCCAAGAACAAGTAGCAAATATTCTATATTTGAATTTATTTAAACCATATCTTTTAGTTTTAATTTTAAGAGCTAAAATTCCTATAATCAAGTTATTTCTATGAAGGCACACAACTTTTAATTTGTATTACGAACCTGCTTTAGCCTTCTTTTTTGTTTTTTTTTGTTTGGATTTTGTGTTTTCTGGAATATTGTCTGCTACATTTTGTTCGGCCGAGCTTATTTCATCATCTCGATGAGAATCTGGAGTGACTATTCCAACTGGAGGGTCCTTCTTTTGTTCATTTTCAACTGTGTCATCAGAGATGGTCAATGCACTGTAAATATAACCCAATTACAGCCAATATCAATACAGTATTATTATTTGTCTTGTAGTAGAGTGGAAAACAGACAAGTACAATCCTAAAAGTGATCTTATTCTCTGCTGAGAGATGCATATATTTTCTTATTACACTAAAATGGGTAGTTGTTGAACTAGGTATCATATGTACTATTTTATACTTGGTGAGGGGTCACATATCCCATGAGCTCTAATTCCCAGGGAAAGTGAAATTGTATTTTATGAGTGATCTGCCTTTACATATAACTGATCAAAGCATCCTCACCCTGCTGCCAAGTAAATGAGTAATGAACAAATTTGTAAAAAACTTTACTTAAAGGCAAAAAAAAAAAAAAAAAAAAAGTGTTCTGTTTTCTAGAGGCTTAAAATATACAACTTTTGATTTCTAGGTAAAAATTAACTCCTGTATTTTCCAGTGATTGGTGTGTCATGACATTTCAGAAGGTTATTATTAAAATTAAAATCTGCGTCACATGAATCCATACATGGTTAGGGATAGCATCCAAGAAGCATTCTGAGTTTACAGTGAAACCAACTTATTAAAGTTTATTTACAATTTATCAAATATTTTTAAAAAACTGCATTTAAATAATAAAAAGTTGACTTCCAATACATCTTAGTCATATTTTTAACAAAATACCTGGAAATTAAGAAGACCACAGAAATATTTCTATTTAGGTCATCAGAAAAGTTATGACGTATTTTTTTGGTTTTTCTGTGTAGAAATGTGTCATGACTTTCCCGATGACCCGAGTCATTTCAGAAAGCCATGTTATTTAATCACATTACTATATACAGGTACTCCTCACATGCTACTGTCATGGAAGGCATGGTTTATTTAAAATTCATAAACTAACCTTATTTCACAGTAAGTCTGACTTACCACTACATCACAGATGTGGTAGTTATTAAGAACGAGGAAAATTTATAGTATAATGCGGGTTAAGCAGTCCTAATATGGCCTCTATCGATCCCTACTTCTTGATATTGTGTTTCTGACAACTCAATATTTGCATCTTTGAAGAATTCCCTTTCCTCTGAGTATGGCTAGGCCATTCTGAGACAAAATATGACAAAAAGGATGCCATCTCTAAGATTAGGTTCCAAAAAGACTGACTTCTGTCCTGTTCTCACTTTTTCACAGTCCCTGCAATGCAGAAGCAAGTGGTCATGCTGTGAGTAGCTCATATAGAAAGGTCTATGGGGCAAGGAACTGAAGTCTCTGGCCACAGTCAGGCAGAACCTGAGACATGCCAACAGACCCATGAGTGAGCCTAGAAGTAAATCTTCTGAAGGCTTCTAACAGCTATGTCACATGGCAGCTCTTCCCTCTTAGTAAAGGCTTAGGATGACTTTAGCTCTGGCTGATTACTGCCTTTGAGAAAAACTGTGACAGTTCAGGGTGCCCAGCTAAGTCACCCCCAGAGTCCTGACCCATAGATATTGAGACAATAAATGTTTTTTGTTCTAAGCTGCTAAGTTTTAAGGTAATTTTTTCTTTTTTTTAGAGGGAGATTTTTGCCATAGGGAGTGTACGCTGCTTGCCAGGGAGACAGAGAGAGAAAGAAAGCAAGAAATCACCCCCCCCCGGGGGGGGGGGGGGCCACACCCCTCTTAGTAAAGGCTTAGGATGACTTTAGCTCTGGCTGATTACTGCCTTTGAGAAAAACTGTGACAGTTCAGGGTGCCCAGCTAAGTCACCCCCAGAGTCCTGACCCATAGATATTGAGACAATAAATGTTTTTTGTTCTAAGCTGCTAAGTTTTAAGGTAATTTTTTCTTTTTTTTAGAGGGAGATTTTTGCCATAGGGAGTGTACGCTGCTTGCCAGGGAGACAGAGAGAGAAAGAAAGCAAGAAATCACCCCCCCCCCGGGCGGGGGGGATGGCCACACCACAATCACTTCTCCTCCATTCTCCTCTTGGAATCTTGGGCATGCACACACATGTAGCCAGTATGAGTTTGAAGCCACTGGGTCTGGGACTCCAACCATGTTTGACTATGTGGGAGTCCAGCAACATAACCATTATGCCATCTGCTGGTCTGGAGGTAATTTTTTTCATTGTAACAATAGATGACTAGTACATACACTAATATGTCTATGCCCCAACTTGATTGGCCTTCTCTTTGTTACTCTTTATCGTCTAGCTTTATTTAAGAAGAGAATTATTTTTAGGTCAGTGCTGCAGAGGAAACTGCCTTTGAATACCAAAGAGTAGTCACAAACATAATGTTCCAACTCAAGTTGTTTCTCTAAATGAGAATTTCAGGAAAAAAGTTAATTATGGCAATTAAAAGGTATTTTCTGTCCTAATATTTTCTCCAAGGACAGAATATATAAAGATGAATATATTCACAGAAGACCTCATCATATATGAAGAGAATAAAAAATGGAGACTTACGGGAAAATGGGATGAAAGAATGAGTTTACTATGTTGCAAAAAATTTTTAAGTTCATGTAAAGTTTTCTTATAATATGTATTTTCCATGAGGACTCCTCATATACAAGCATAGATATTTAAGCATCATAAATAGGAAAAGAATAGAATACCAAATCTTTTTTAGAGATTATCTTTGCAGGTTGTTCTACAATGAGCAAACGTTACTTGTACAGTAACCTTTTATGTATTTGAATAATGTTATATAATAACATGTAATAGTTATAGATACTGATTGGATAATATTCATATAGCATTAGGGTTAGGGTGAAATTCATATATGCAAAAAGGCATTTATAATTCATAAAAGAGGAAATAACTAGGTTTCTAATACTTAAAAAACACATATAAGTGAAAAGTTAAGGGTAGAGACTCAAAAACTGGACTGCCAAGTTTCTGGCTCAGCCTCTTACTAGTTTTGTGACTTAAACTCTTTGGTTTCAGCAAACTAGGATAATATTACTTTTACTCACAGGGTCGTTAAAAGGAACAAGTTAATTCTTATAAAGCATCCAACACATAGTAAGGCTGCACCTTAGTAGCAATGTCTCCAAGTGAAGCCTAAGAATGTTCTTTGTTAAATTATAGATAGCATTCAAAATAATATTTTTTTAGAGACTATTTTCTATTTATCAATGTAAAGTACCTTGTTTCAGTTTCAGGCAGGACTGGAACTTTCTTTTTCTTCTTTTTCCTTTTCTCACTGCTCAATTTGTCATCAGGCAGTAAAGTATCCGAGGGAAAATATGCCAACTGTTCTTTGAGTTTCTTTCTTATTTTCTTCTTAATCTCTTTTGCCATTTCTTCAGCTACTTGGAGTTGATAAGCTTGCATCAATTCTTCAGTCTCTTCTAAATCATTATTTTCTCCTCCTTCATTAGCTCTCTCATTTTTCCGATGATGGACACTTGGCTGTGGCTTCGCTCGTGTTTTCTGGTATGAAGAACCCACCTTCTTCTCAGGAGTTTCCAGATGCATTTCTTGGGCAGTCACCTGGAGCAATGTCTTTGTAGCCTTTTTATTTGACTTTACTTGTTTGTCATCCTCTACACAAACAGCATCATTTGGAAATTCAACTGTTGATTGTGTGTTTCTCAGGTTTTTTTTAGTCATGTGCATACTCTTCTCTGGGTTAGTAGTGTTAGGAGCACTTACTTCATCACTGTCTGTTTCTCTAATATTATGAAGATTGCTTCTACTGGTGTTAAGCTATGAAAAGAAGACATAATAACAACATTTTAGCTAATCATAGTTTAGTTAAGTAAAGATAAATTCAATGATTAATGTTCCACAATAAAAAGCTGGGAAGATAATTTATTTACTTGGACACAATGATACTATTCTACAACATTTACTAAACGCTCTCCTAATTTACATTCCCAGAATTAGATTATTAATCTCTGAAAGTAACTTCACCTTAGTTAATTAACTAACATAGGAAAAGTACTTAAAAACTTTCCAGAAGGAAATATGAAAACCATGCCAAGCTCAAGTGCATGTGTGCCTGAAATCCTGACAAGATGGTGAAATGGAGATGTAATCATGCATCACTGGGGGAGGGGAGCTTTCTCTTTCTCTCTCCTCAGTAAGCACATGTGCCCTCTAGCAATTAAAAACAAAACAACACACAAAAAGAAACCTTAGTGTACATCAGTAAACTCATGTATTTCTGGGAAAAATCTTCATTTTGGTCTTGGCTTCATTTACAGTACTTTAGTTTTTGTCCATTCTGCGACTCATTGAAAAATGTAGTAAATAGCCAATGTATGTGGAAAGGAGAAGGAAAAAAATGCTGAAAAAACTAGTAATCCAATATATAGCTCCAATATTTTACCATCTTCAAGGCTCTTCTGCTCATCTAAAATACATTTCAAAGTTTTATCTATTCTTCAAGGGTAAGTTATGAGGTTACATCTTCCATAAATTTTCCTAATCAGATCTAACAAAAATAACCTCTTTTTAAAAAGTAAGTTTATTTTCAGATGTTCTGTTTTTATGCAATATAGATTTAATTTAAAACAATAACAAAAAAGAGGTCAGCAGGTGATGTGCTAGATAAAGTGCTGGACTCTCCCACATGGCCAACCATGGTTCGAGTCCTGGATCCTATGGCTTACTTTCTTACCTCTCCCCAACCCTGCCTTTTTCCGGTGAGCATGCATGCTCTGTGGCAAATTTAAAAATAGTAATAATAATGATAAATAAAATTAAGTAGTAGTCCATTGTATACATATATGCCATGTTTTGTTTCTCCATATAATAATTAACATTTGAGTTATTTTAAGCTATTAAGAAATGTTTTCATTTCTCTTGAACAAATAACCACAAATGGAATTGTGATACAATATGGTTTAATAGATCTTAAACTTAAGTAATTTTACTTGGACACAATGATATTTCTCAAACTGGCTGTGTAATTCTGCATTTTCATTAGCAAGGTGTAAGACTTCCAGCTACTTGACATCCTTTGCACTATTGTTAATTTTTAAAATTTTTGCCTGTTCTAATAGGTATGTAATTATTTCTCATATTAAAACAATTATATTGGTTTAAATTGCATTTTCCTAATTACTAATAACACTGTGAATCTTTACACGAGCTATTTGCCATTCACAGCTCTTCTCTGGTTAAATATTCAAATCTTTCATCCATTTTTATTTTTATTTTATTTTTTTAATTAATTTTTTTTTACATTTAATCACTATATATCTTTATAGCATACAAAATGAATTTTACCATCTTGAATACACTGCATATTGGTCCAACCAAAGATATTATCATACACATCACTGGCAGACAATTTTCCATTTTTGTGTCCATTAAACATTCTGCCTTTTTTTTTAAACCTTTCCTTCCCCCTACCCATAGCCCACCCTTCTCCTGCACTGTCTTTAGTTTGCTATTATTATTATTATCCAAATTTCAAGAAAAGCTTTTTTAGCTTTAATGAATCAAAATCAACAAATATTAAGAAGGGCTGGCAGGTGGTGTGATGGATAAAGGCACTGGATTCTCACAGGGCTGACAACGGTTCAAGTCCCGAACCTGGCAGCTTGTTTTCTCACTTTCCCTTTCTCTCTCTCTCTCTCTGGGCAAATTTAAAATAAATAAATAAATAAGAAGAACAAATGAAATTAAATAAATAGATTTTTTTTAAAAAAAAGATGTTAAGAAAAATCTGCTTAAGACTTAAAGCCAGGATTTTTATAGAGTGGTTTACACATCTATAAGAGTTTTTAAAACGTTCTAGATAAAATGGCACTTTGAAAGTATTTTCTCCCAATTTATGGCTTACCTATTCATTTTCATACAAAGTTCTAAATTTCTACAAAGACCAAATTACCCCATTTTACTCCATGCTTTTATCCTGACAAGTATTCGCATAACCCAAAAATACTATGTTTTTTCTATAAGTTGTATAGTTTTTGTTCTTATAAATATATATATAGGTTTTTATTAATTAATACTTAATTTCTACACTCAAAAATTATGACAATTTATTAAAATGTATATAGACATCCGATTGTTCCAAAACCATTTCTTGTAAAGATTCTCCTTTCCCTCACTTAATTATCTTGACAACCTTGTCAAGAATCAATTGATCACATTTGGGCCTATTTCTAAACTCTCTTCTGTTTCACTGACTTACAAACCATCTTAATGACGATATCAGGTTGTCTTGATTACTATAGCCTTATAATGAGTTTTGACTCAGACGATATAGTTCCTTCAACTTTTCAAAACTGTTTCAAAATTGTTTAGGGTAGCCTAATCTCATATTCACATTTTAAATTTGATAATTAGATTTTAAAAAAACAATTTGCTGATATTTTTATTAGGATTTAAATGAATCAGCAGATCAATTTTTCAAATCTAACCACAATGGCATAGCAGTTAGCACACTGCTCCACAGTGCTGAAGCCATGGGGCCAGGAGGTGCCATGATGGTTAAGGCACTGTACTCCCACATGACCAACCACAGTTTGAGTCCTGAACCTCGTGGCTTGCTTTCTCACTTTCCTTTTTTTTCTCTTGCCCTCTCTCTAGTGAGCATACATGCTCTGTAGCAAATTTAAAACTAATACTAGTGAAAAATAAAATTAAATAAATGTTTTAAAATGGTGAAGCCATTTTTTAGATTGGATTGCTTCTCTGTCAAGAGGCAATGTCTATGATCCCGGCTCGCTAAGGAGGCTTAGGAGATAATCATGGCATGAGGTCCTGTTGAGGGTGCTGCCTTTTCCTATCTCTCTCTCATAAAAGAAATATACATTTAAAAAAAAAAGTATTAATTTTAAGGGCCAGCAAGGTGGCAGTAGTTAGATCCCATATAACCTTTGGCACTGTTTGAGTACCAGAACTGGTAAGTCTGAAAAACACTGGTAATGTGTGCACATGTGCTCAAATTTCCAAAAGGAATATAGAGAAGGGATTGTAGTGTAGTCACTCCACCTGGCTTTTACACTTTCACTCTCTCTCGCTGCTAAGCACATATGCCCTATACCCAAGAAGAAAAATCAATGTTAAGAGAATGGACATCAACATTGATTATTCTGATTGATAAATATCTAAGTTTTTATTTTCAGTACTTCAGAGTTTTCAGTATATAGGTCTCATATTTTAATAATTTTATCACCTTTCGCTATACATTTTTGTTGCTATTATAAACAATTTTTAACTTTTAATTTCAGGTGTAGAAATACAACTGTTTTTACATATTGACCTTACATGTTATTGAACTCACTGGTATGTATTTCTTTTTTTTTTTTTTTTTTATTGGAGAGGTTTTTTTGCTGTAGGGCGTGTGCACTCCCCAGAAAGACAGAGGGAGACATTGAGACAGGAAGCGAGAAATCACCCCCCAAGGGGAATGCCACACCACAATCCCTTTTCCTCCTTTCTCCTCTCAGGATCTTGGGCACACATGCACACGCACCCGGCATGAGTTTAAGCCACCGGGTCTGGGACCCGAACCGTGGTCAACTACGTGGGAGTCCAGCAACATAGCCATTACGCTAACTGCTGGTCCCATCTCACTAGTATTTCTAACAACACTTTTTGTAGATTTTGTAGGAAATCATGTTATATGAGAATAGAAGCCATTTTACTTTTTTATAATATTTATGCCTTTTAAAAAGTGTATTATTGTGATTAGGGTCTCCCAATATTGTCTTGAATACAGTTACATATGCTCAAGCTGAGTAAAAACACTGTTTCCTTTGGTCTGGGGTGTGTTTGGGGTTTTCTGGTCGGTTTGCTTGTTTGTTTGACAGACAGGGTCTCACTGTTGCCCAGGCTGGCCTCAGCCTCAGCCTCCTATACAGCTGAGATTACAGGCATGAACCACTGCACCTTGCAAGAGCAGGTTGTTTAGATGCCCTTTCTCAGGTTGTGGAAATTTCCTTGTATTTTTGGTTTAAGAGTTATCAGGATCAGCAGTTAGCATAATGGCTATGTCGGTGAACTCCCATGTAGTGGACTGCGGTTCGAGTCCTGGACCCGGTGGCTTAAACTCACGCCACGCATGTGTGTGTGCGCGCATGTGCCCAAGTTCCCGGGAGGAGAATGGAGAAGCGATTGTGGTGTGGCCATTCCCCCTGGTGGTTATTTCTCGCTTTCGGTCTGTCTGTCTCTGTCTTTCTGGAGAGCACACATGCCCTATAGCAAAAACCTCTCAAAAAAAAAAAAACAAACCAGAAAGTTATCAGGTATCAGTACTGAATGTTGTCAAATTCTTCTGCATTTATCAAGATGACATATGGTTTTCTTATTTAATCTTTTGATGTGGTAAATTACATTAAATGGTTTTTATTTTTTGTTTTTGCCATAGGGTGTGTTGTGATACCAGAGACAAGATGAGAGAGTTGAGAGGAAAAGTGAGAAATTATCCCCCAGAAGGTATGGCTACGCTGCAATCCCTTCTCCATTCTCCTCCTGGGATTTTGAGCATACATGCCCACATGCCTGGAGTGATTTTCAAGCTGTCAGGTCAGAGACTCAAATCATGATTGACCATGTGGGAGGTCCAAGGTCTTAATCACTATGCCACCTGCTGACAACTGGAATGTTTTTTTAACGCTCAACTGAGATAATAAAATCCTTCTATCTGGTGTATTATCATTTTTGTAAGATTGGTTTCTTAATATTTTATTGAGGATGTTTGCATCTATGTTCAAATGGGATATCGGTCTGTAGTTTCCTTGTAATCT